TCACGTCATTTACCACTATTAACAACAACTGTCAAGGCATGAACTTTTTAGAGCGACACATTTCTGTAAAAATTGCCACAAGAAATGCTCCAAATGAGTTCAAGGAGAGCAAATAAAATATACTTCGTTCATAATACAGTGTGTGAAATTGAGTATCAATTTAGTTCAAGACACTAATTGTATCGATATTCCATTTTTTTCTCCAAACAAACACATGCACTTTCAAAATCATTTCTTCTTGCTATCAATAGTTTGTCAAGTCGAATCTTAATTACAAAATCAATTTAAAACTTGTTCCAAATTAATTAATCTCCTCAAATTTTAATACAACTTTTAGTAACTGTTAATAAACAGACTGACCTGAATGTCATCTTCATTATTTTGACAAGAACGGAACAAGGCGCTGGATTCCTTTTCACTGGACCTCATGCCAGGCGGGTTGAAGCCATCACCCTAAGGCAGCACGCTCATCCGAAAAACCCGAAAGCCGCAAAACATTTGCGGGTACACACATCATTCGGCATGAACTGGTTAAAATGTACCATCACCTGAAAGAGAAAATTGTTTTAGAATGATACACGTTTTCACAAAGACACCCCCAGAAAGTTATGAAGTTAAATAAAATCAGATATAACTGTCCAGTTATAGATATGAACAGATTTTCAAAATGTTCTACCTGTCCATCTAAGTCATCTCGCCACTGCACATTTTGATCTAGTGAACGTCACAAATAGTGCAAATGGGGCAACACTATTTGTACTTATAACATTTTCCAAAATTGGAATTTAAATTTTTGCATTGCCCAGAGAAGAAATATACCACCGACCAAAATAACAGATAAAATTGTTGCGAGGGATATAAATGAATTACCTCCAACTCAACCCATTACCACCCACCCCCTTCCCAAGAGTCTGTTTCAAGAGATGTTATTACACATAAGCCTTACTTTTCTGTGATCAGGCATGTAATGTAGGCTACTACTTATAGAAGCTTCCATTACAAAAATATGAATACACGCGTGTATAATCGGCCAGCTTGCCGTACGATGTTGGTTCGTACACACACTACTGATCTCTATTATCAGTGATGCACATGATATACTGCAGGCGAACGGGATCGTGCGCATACGTACGTACATTGTACGGCTAGCTGACCGATGGTACACGCATGAGGGCGCACTATATACAGGAAGGATTGGCGCGAGTTCATTGTTCAGCTGGAACAAGGTTGAAATTGAGTTACACAAACTCATGTCAAGAAACATCAACATTTGGCTGGATATTACGCAAAAGCTGGACAACTGACAAATGCAGCAAATTCTGAATTTGTTATTAACAGGGCGTGTGTGTTTTGAATAAATCACCAATGCACGCAGTCTGAATGTAAAAATATATTTGGTAACAAGTCCTCACATTCTGAGTTAATTCTTAAAGTGTGGCCTTTATTTATGGAGGTCCAGTAAATTGGCCACATTTATGGGGCTATCAAGGTCCTAGGCCGCCTCTAGCCCCATAAATGTGGCCTATTTACTGGACTGCCTCCGTAAACATAGGCCACACATCCACATGTACAAAAAACGTGTCGACCTTGCCAAATTTTGATTTTCACATTTAGGCTTACTTTTTACGTTTGTTTTGCTTTAGAAGCATTCTCACCCTCTATATAGGCTAATCAGAAAGTGCTGCCTTTTTCAGATGTCCATTTTTCGTGAAATTTCCAGATACATTTGCACACGTTTGCATATCAAAATTTCAACATGAAATCTCACAAAAATTAAACATCTGAAAAAGGCAGCACTTTCTGATTAGCCTATATAGAGGGTGAGAATGCTTCTAAAGCAAAAAAAATCTACAAAGTAAGCGTAAATGTGAAAATCAAAATTTGGCAAAGTCGACACGTTTTTTGTACATGTGTATGGGCGGCCATTAGGGCAAAAAAGACAAAAACAAAAATAAAACAAAACCACAAAATTAAACGAAAACACACAAAAATAAACGAACAACTCAGAAATAAACAAATATAACTCAGAAATAAACGAACAACTCAGAAATAAACGAACAATTCAGAAATAAACAAACCATTCAGGAATAAACAAATATAACTCAGAAACAAACGAACAACTCAGAAATAAACGAACAACTGAAAAATAAACGAACAACTCAAAAATAAACGTAAAACTCAGAAATAAACGAACAGCTCAAAAATAAACGAACTACTCAGAAATAAACGAACAACTCAAAAATAAACCATCAACGCAGAAATAAACAATCAACTCAGCGTTAAACGATCAACTCAGAAATAAACGATCAACTCAGAAATAAACGATCAACTCAGAAATATACACGAACTCAGAAATAAACGAACAACTCAGAAATGAACGAAGAACTCAGAAATAAACGAACAACATCCCCAGGGTGTCGAGCAGCAGTACGCGCCCACCATGTACCATACATTACAGAAGTGCAGACGACATAATGTTTACCGCGGCATCCAAGATGGCGGACACCATGCATCGCTTCACACACGCGATAAACACGGACACATGACACATGACGGGTGAAGTGGGTTTTCGTGGACGACCTCCGACGCCTAATAAAAGGAGTCTAAGCGAAAGGTAAGCCTGATTACAGTTTGATTTTTATGATGGAAAACGTCGACTTTATTCGTAAACTTTTACAATGTCAATGGCATATATCCCGCCGTCATGTCTGTACGTCATGCGTGTGGGCCGGGTTTGGCCACTGTACTAGCGCGCGGTGCGGTGGGCAGACCACGGACCATTACATGGTCCGTGGTAATGGACCATAAATGGTCCGTGGTACATGCATGGTCAGACCGACCATCGAGCTATATCCGAGGTGGAATGATTCCCACATCTGGCCATCACTATTTTTCCCCTTCAGTGACCTATCATGCATCAGAAAGTGATAATTTGTCCAAACAAGTAAAATTTAGCTTGGGAAAATATTGAAATATTTAGGAAACACTTGGAATAGAAATGTCCAGACCAGCTTCATACGGTTTGTGCACAGGGATGGCCAGATATGGGAATCTTCCCATCATGTTCCCTGCAGTGTTAACAGCCATCAGCTGGAGAACATATTGAAGTATTTACCGAGAAAAAACGAGGGAGGGGAGGCAAGGGGGGGGGTGCCCCCCCCCCAAAAGAGCCACACAAAAAAGGAAGGAAAAAAACAAGAAAAAGGAAATTTAAGAAATAGATGTGCAAAGTCATATTTTTGTAAATTTAATGAGTTGGGGGGGGGCAAAATGTCCCTGCCCCCCTCTAAAACTGATAAATTGAGAATATGTTGAGAAATACAGGATTTTTTTGGGAAAAATATGTTTTACCCCCCATTAGAAAAAATCTCGGCGACGCCTATGTTTGTGCATAGGGTCACCATGGTCACTGTTATGGTGATTTCTAGGTATACAACTATTTCCGGATAGCTTTATGATAGGTGATTGCACTGTATTTTACTCTACACTGCCATCATCAGTCCTTTGATTACAACTTGATTAACATCTATGTAGGCCTGGTCTTAAATAGTTTGTGATGAGATTTTTGCAACTTTTCATGCTAAACCGTTTCATATATTTTGTCATTTGTCCCAACAGAGAGCAGGATATTATGAACGGTGTTCAAGCCAGCTACATCAATGATCCAGATGGAAAGCAACAGAAACTCAACTGAAAGAAAGCAACTTTAGTCTTGTCTGATAAGTGCTGCATGTGTTCCACAGCCCATGCCAAGTATGGACTGAAATTCTGGCTTAACTACCAGATCTTAGCTCCATGATACAAGTATGTAGACAGCAGCTGGCTACTAGCTGTGGCTCCCCGAGTACCTTGTAAAATGGCGAATGCACTGTTAAAGTTATAGAGATTTTTTATTATAAGACCCCCGAAAATCCACAAATACATGTATGAGAGAAAGTTCACTGCAACCACTGATGCATTTATGCAGAGGATTCAATTAGTTTGGAACTTGCTGCAACCCCTGTCCAGGTTGTCATTGAGGATTCTGTCCGAGGACTTATTGAGGTGAACAGTCTGTCAAGGTTCAGAGAGGTGACACTAAAGGAAGTGATTCTAGCCAAAAAGGACTGCACAATTTTCCTCTGCAACTGAGGGAATCAAAACCCATGACGAAGGAGAAATCGAGTTTTACCAAGTGCAGATGCAGATGGCAGTTGTAGGTGTGCCTTGTTGTGACCTTTGAATTTTCACCAATGCCACAGCGATGTGCTCATAGTCTTTGTACATGTTTCATTCATTGAGGCATTTTTGAAACCATTGAGGATTCTCCAATTTCATAAAGGTCAATGTTTTATCATATAGCCCAGGGTTTGCAATTTTTTTATCAAGACACCTTGCACAAATTTTATTTGGCAAAACTAGTTAATTGGTCTTGTCATAAATGTGATTGCTCTAGTTCAAAGAGTAAAAGTGCATGTACATGTACATGTTATTATTAAAATTATATTTTAGACATTAAAATTTTTGTCAACAAATTGCAGACTTTTTAGTCATCTTTAAAAATCTATACTTTACTTTTCTATGAATAGTACAATTTTAGGTGAAACATATATGCACCTAGGACAGTTTAAATACATGTTTCTACTAAGCAATTTGTGTTTCTACTGAGCTAAATGTGTCATTAAGAATAGGAGCAACTTAACATGTATCTGTACAAGGATTGGATGTATTTCGTCGATTGGTTTTGGAAACCAACTTTAGAGACTGCAAGTTAACTGTTGATTTATATACGGCAGTTCACATTTTGGACAGAATTCCACATACGGACGTCACTTGAGACCCTGTATACAACTTTGAGAGTGGTCTGAACATTTCTGTTTTCTCACTAAATTCTTCAATGTTTTCCCTGCTATATTTGACTTTGTACGACATGTTATCGCTTTCTGATGGCTGGTAGGTCATTGCAAGGAAAAATTATTGACATCCGTATATGGAATTCTTTCCTACATGTTCTTGTTATGTTTAGTAAAAGGATTTTTTAAACAACATTTTAAGGTTTCCTTCCACTCTTGAGCTTTAATTTATTGCATTGTACTAGACTGGGGCAAGCATTATTTGTGTGTAACTTAAAGAAACTGCCTGAAAAAAAGTACAATTCACATTTCGCAAGTTAATTATTAAACCACTGCTTTAATATCTCATCCAAAAAAACCCACATTGTAATGTTAAATTAGCAGTTATATTAATATCACTTGTGTTGTAAACATTTTTTTGTTGAGAAGTATACAATGTATACAATTGTGCTTTTCAAAATATCATGTATGTACAGTTAACCATGCTCAACCTGTAACACTATAACATCATTTCATGAGATTACACAAACATTTGAACAAAATGAACTAAAGGTGCACCATTCTAAGTTTTGTGCAATATGAATATCCTGATATCTGTTTGACAAAGGTGGGGGACAGGGGTGGGGTGGGGGTTAGGGGTGGAATGGGGGTTGGGCTGGAGGCACTGGAGGATGGGACATTTGGTGAATTGGGTGGGGGATGGGGGGCGGAGTGTGAAGTTTAAACTTGTGATTGGCCCCTAGTAACACAACTCTCTGTAAAATTTACATGAATCTGCCAAAGATTAAAGACGACAATGCTGTGCTGCAGATCCAGAAACTTTACTGTGTAGTACAACTTCTGCTAATACAGTTTTGTAGTGGTACATGTCAGGCACAGATTGACTACAATAAAATAGAAAATAAAATGTATGTATTTGTTACAAGAAATTACCCAGTACATGTGTATTTGTGTAACCTTATTGTAACAGAATTAGCTCATTACATATCACTTACATGTTCCAAACACATGCACACACATGTCCAAAGCAATGTTTATGTAAATACACATGTAGGCCCCTACAATGTACATGTACATGGAGTGAGTGTATCAACTATGACCTAAATCCAGTGTCAGTCCAACAATTTGCATTTATACTAGCTACTCCACATTAAAAGAATACTGATGTCTAAATGCAAGAAGGGTTTAGGTACACCCTGTATAAATCTCGACCTGCAGTACATGTGCTTTTAACAGGTTCCACAATACCGTGACTATGCAACCAACAAATGCGTTGAAAATGCAACTTATAGGCTATAAAACGGTACTAAATATCACACTTATCACTACATAATTTATAGAAATTGTTTAACAGTAAACTGCTGTACCAACCGTTTAATAAACCTCAGCGATTATTGCTTTGGGCGAAGAATTTAACACACAAGTTGCAAACTCTACAACGCTAAATCTATGTTGCTAAGGAGAGCTTGGTTACCATCTTTCTGGTACAGTGCCCTCACTAGGCAAAAAGAAGAAATCTGAGTTTGGCCGCTACATTACATGTATCTAGCACTGTATGTATCTATTTAAATTTAATAATTTTTACAAATATCTGCAGAAAAAAATGTAGCACCTCTTTTAGTTTCTGTGTGCAGAAGTTGTACAGTTACAATGTACATGTACATGTAGAACTGCAAATGTGACATGGATTAGACTTAGAGTGACAACAAAGACTTAAGTAGGGCCTACATGTACATGTACATGTAGGCTACACAGAAAAAAAAACTAGGCCTACATGTACTTCATTTAGTGAGGGCCAAATATTGTAGCATAGCAGCGCACTTTTTGAACGCTTCCTGTAGGTTAGGGGTATCTTCTCTCCAAGAAAATGTCACTGTTTTCCCATTTACCGTTGAACGGTCGCGCATGCTACTGCAACAGACTCAACCAGCTGATGAGGCTGCAATGGTCTGCTCCAATGAGAAAATGAGGCATATTAAAGTTGTACTTTCCGCTTCATGATTACTTCTCGGAAGGATCTTGTTTCATCACAGGCTTCCCTTCCATGTTACTAGAATCGTCCTGCAACCAAAATTTGAGAGTTACAAATTAATCATCATGTTGACATCCTGTTCGGATTACTACCATTACTCTTGTACCCTGTGCAACCAGTGGAACCAAAGAGAACTGAAATAAACTGCTGATTTTGTTTAAGTAAATCCAATTCATTTTTTTCTTCATTTTCTCTGCTTCCAAACACACAATGCATGATATTTTTTGTGGGTCACCAAAATAATGCAATATGCACACAGCAGTTCACAGTTTATTTGGGGTTCACTGAGTATTTCAGGCTAAACAGTTAAACCATGTCAATGGCGTATTTGAGAAGCGGTTCGACTGGTGGCAGCGCAATCGACAGATAGCATCACGATCACCCGATCGCGCTCAACATTAATACTAGTACTAGGGGGCTAGGGGCCTTTTGCGTTTGTAAAAATTGTTGCGTAAAGATACTAAAAAAATTCAACTCGAACTGAAAAATAACGGGTAAAAAGTCTCTTTTATTAGAATTATGAATAAAATTTTAGAGTCGCGGAAGTCGTTTGATCTTTAAAGCGGCAAAATGCTCAAAAAATAAACAAGACACATAGACCATACCCGTCCGGGGAAAGAATCCCATAGTCTACCTCCTAGATGGAGGTTACTTCACACCCTGTTACCATGGTGTTACAAACCAGTATAATGAGACTGGTCTGAAAAATTATGTTTTCTCACTAAATATTTCAATATTTTCCCAGTAAATATCACTTTTTAGGACATGTTACCGCTTCTGGTGGCTACTACTAGTATAGTCATTGCAGGGAAAAACTAGTGGCGTACGTGTATGGAATTCCCATTCTTTCCTGTCTGACCAACCATGGAGGAATTCCTCCATGGACCAACGTAGTCATGCATGGCGCAGTGCCACGCCGCGCCATCCCAGCCCAGTACATGTGGCCAAACCCGGCCGGCATTGGCATACCGTTCACATGACGTACAGACTAGACATGACGGAATGCCATGGTAAACGTTTACAAAGTCAACGTTTTTCATCATAAAAATTAAACTGCATCCCAGGCTTACCTTTCGCATAGACTTCTTTCTGGCTTCGGAGGTCGTCGACGAAAAAACACTACGTTTTTACCCTCCGTTTTTTCTACGTGTTCATCGCGTGAAGCGGTTCAAGGTGTCCGCCATTTTGAATGCCGCGGTAAACATTATGTCGTCTGCACTTCTGTAATGTATGGTACATGGTGGGCGCGTACTGCTGCTCGACACCCTGGGGATGTTGTTCGTTTATTTCTGAGTTCTTCGTTTATTTCTGAGTTGTTCGTTTATTTCTGAGTTCGTGTATATTTCTGAGTTGATCGTTTATTTCTGAGTTGATCGTTTATTCCTGAGTTGATCGTTTAACTCTGAGTTGATTGTTTATTTCTGCGTTGATGGTTTATTTTTGAGTTGTTCGTTTATTTCTGAGTTGTTCGTTTATTTTTGAGTTGTTCGTTTATTTCTGAGATGTACGTTTATTTTTGAGTTGTTCGTTTATTTGTGAGTTGTTCGTTTATTTGTGAGTTGTTCGTTTGTTTCTGAGTTATATTTGTTTATTCCTGAATTGTTTGTTTATTTCTTAATTGTTCGTTTATTTCTGAGTTGCTCACTTATTTATGAGTTATATTCGTTTATTTCTGAGTTGTTCGTTTATTTCTGAATTATATTCGTTTATTTCTGAGTTGTTCGTTTATTTCTGAGTTGTTCGTTTATTTTTGTGTTGTTTGTTTAATTTTGTGGTTTTGTTTTATTTTTGTTTTTTGTCTTTTTTGCCCTAATGGCCGCCCATACATGTGGATGTGTGGCCGATGTTTACGGAGGCAGTCCAGTAAATAGGCCACATTATGGGGCTAGGCCGCCTCCAACTTAATCCCGTCAACCAAGGCACCCCCCCCCCCCCCCCAAAAAAAGAAGACAGGCAACATCAATAAAACTACAGTGTATAACTGCTTGATTTTGTGGAGGGGAGTATGCAACACCCAATATCAAATTAGCAAAAGAACGGAGCAAGAAAAACCAGACAGCATGCAAAACATACCTCGCACATCTCACAAGGTTGGTTCCAGATCCACACGACCGCCATATTCTTGGCTGATTCCCAATTTTCAGAGGTGTAAAAACATCATTTAGAGTTTGTTAATGAAGAAATCAGAGGCTAAAATACTTCTTTGATTGCCCAAAAAGGACATGAGATCGGTTGTACATAAGGATGCATGAGTTAAAAAGAGAAATTTTCGGCTGAAAAACTGCCATCCTACAAACGAAACCACAACCGCAGACGGCGGAGGAAAATGCATACGCGCGCAAAATTTGAAAAAGAGGCCATAGCGCATGTGCGCCGCCGGCGCTTTGCGGATTGTTCCACTCAGCCTTGGGGGTATTTGTACGACACAAAACTTTGGGGTCTGTTTATGTTCCGGGACGACAAAAATATTGAAACTGGATTCATTTAAAATATAGCCAAATCGTATATTTTGCATCAGAAAACAATGACACCATTCATGCATTTAACTTTTTTTTATATTGTATGATGCACTCGGGGCCAGCACCATCCACCCCCAGTGCATTTAGGCCTTTATCGGGGGGGTTTCTTGTTAATAAGGTACGAATGGACCGATCCAGTAAGCACCGCCCCATAGTTTTCTGACCAATCACAGTCGTGATTTATGTCCGACATGCGTACAAAAGTCTGACATGCGTGCACGCGCGTATGATGCGCGCGGCAGGAAAATGCAGTGTGGCGTTGGAGAGGAGCACGTGTTAATTTGCCCACGTGCGCAGTGGGAGGGGCTTACTGGATCGGTCCATAATTCAGAGTCCGCATTTGGAACAGAGGTCTATAAAATATCGCTACAGTTAAACGTTTAGAAGTTTAGCAAGAATGGGTAAAAAAGAAATTGAAATGAGAATGTCAGGCAGGAAAAGTTCATTGTAAGAAAACACTCCGAGATTGATGGCAAGTTCCCGCGGTATAAAGTCAGTTCACGGTGCTATGCATGCTAGACTGGACAAGAAAAAAATCTTAAATATTCCAACTGACGTGCGTCTATTCTGGGAAATAGTCTATAATAACTTGACGGTGAACTTATTGCAAGTTAATAGCCGACTTCCATGGGGGTGACCGTGATGTCTGGGAAGTAGGTCGAGCGCCCTCATCATTTCTAAATTATCCCACTGCGCAGCTAGGCCAGCGTTTCAATAAACCAAATCAAATATAGAGTAAACTTGCCGACTGCAAATTGGTCAAATATGGCCAGAATCTCGAGCTTTTTTGGTCCGAGTTTGTTACAAAGTTGTCCTACTTTCTGCCTCACACTTAAAAAGACTGGTTAGGGCCCTGCAGATACAAAAATCTTTCGAAAGTATTCATTATTACTGGGGAATCTGGGTATAAAACTATACAGTATGGTGTATGGAACATAACAACTGCTCGTTGTGAAGACGATTAGCAAAGAAATACCTGATCTGTTGTAAAATGTTGTCTATAAGTCAACAGACAGGTTATGCATTAGGACAACCCAAAGATGTGTACATTATTTACTCGACTATTATTTTCGTCTGTCCGACCATTCAAACCAAAGCAGAGATATCTATATATCATAGAGAACTACATGCATTTGGGTGGATAGTATTCTGGGCATTTAATATTTTAGGGGCTAGCTCATATATTTCTGGATATTGGATATTTCTGAATTTAAGATAATTCTGGGCTTGAAATATTTCTGGGCTTGATATGATTCTAGGCTTGATATATACCTTGGCTAGACATCATTCTGTGCTTGATATATTTCTGGGCTTGATATAATTTTGAGCGTTACATAATTCTGGGCTTGACATATATCTGGGCTAGATATATTCTGGGCTTGATATATTTCCGGGCTTGATAATTCTGGGCTTGATATATTTCTGGGCTTGATATAATTCTCAGCATGATATATTTCTGGGCTAGATATATTTTTGGCCCAATATTGAGCTTGATATAATTCTGGGCTTGACATATATCTGGGCTATATATATTTCTGGGCTTGATATAATTCTCAGTTTGATATATTTCTGGGCTATATATTTCTGGCCTTGATATAGAAATATATCTCGGTCATGAGGGTTATTCACTCACTCAATAAATAAAACGAAGGCAGACACTGACCATACATTTAGCATTTATATTTCTTATATACATAGTAATGATGACTATACAACTCACAGATACCATAGTATGATGTGATGCATATTATAGTCTACTTGAACACGAACAATGGGTTCCATACATAATAGAACGGTCCGAAATAGCCCCGCCCACATTGTTTTGACCAATCACAGCCGAGATTACTACGCAAATAAAATGCTTACGAGTGCAATGGTAAGAATAATCATCATCCGATTGGTCAGAGCCACTAATAGTGTGACTGTGCAATGGAACTTCTATTTACTGTGGAACCGAACTTCTATTTTTTTGCGGTGCAGCTGGGCCTTGGGTTGGGACGATTAATTCGACAATTATTTTTTGGTTTGAAGTTGAAAAAAGGTTCCCACCTAGCTCACATGAACAGACGTCATAAAACTTTTGGTAATTTCTTACATTAAGGGTGGTTCATAATTCAAGTGAATACAAACAAAGGAATGTGATGTCATAAAAATCCACAGGAAATTCGACTGGGGTGGAAATCTGTTCAATTATGCGAATTCGCAACGTGAAACACTGAAAAGTGCATCACAAATTCACATTCGTGTTCGCATTTCGTGCTTAGTACAATCCAGCCCTTACTAACACTGATCAAGTTGGGCCCAAAAAATTAAAAAATTCAATAAAAAATTCCCCCCGATTAGTTAGCTCCATTGCCTCAAACAAAACATTTTGTGAAATACCAAAAAAAAGAAAAGAAGCATAAACAGGCTTAAGAAGTGCTTTGATTCCATAAATATACAGGTATAAATTATTTATAAATTACAAGGTATTCACAAATACTTTACAATTTTCTTTTGCAGATTCACACCAAACACTAAATTTTTTGTTTAATTTCTTTTTTGCATTGATGGAAAAGCACACTGTACAAATTTTGCTGGCAACATTTGCTGGACAAACATCGGCTGCACACTGGGCCAAGCTAAACACACCCACACATAAAGTACTGCATGTTTTGCTACGTCTACTCTTTTTTGTGAGCTTAGAGAATCGGACTTTACAGAAAGAAAGAAAAAATCGTCACTGCTCAATGTAACACATGAAATTTTAGAATCTGAGAGGCTGTTGCCAGACCTCATGCAGTTTCGGGTCCGTTTCCAGTCTATGTCACAGCCTTTCAACAATATTTTTCTTCAGTCTTGATCCTTATTTTTATTGATTCATACTTTGATAGTTTTAGCACTCCATACTTTCGACATCCAGATTTTAAATCACCTATGTAATCCTTACAAATAAGGTTTTAAGGTTTTATCCTGGATATTTTATTGAGATTACTCCTAACAAACCAACCATCACATTATGACCAGCTATACATACATATATATATACAATTACAGATAATTAACGCAAATAAATAAATAGCACCCTCTAGATCCATTCCACGAATCTTATTTAATAGACTCTACTCGAATGAGGAGAGCGTACGGCACAATTGCCGATCGTTCTTTCGTGAACCATTCAATCTTACTGTTGTTAATGTGGGGATCGATGTTGTGGTTGACGCCGATTGTCTGCGGGCCTGTGGTGTAGCTGTTGGGACGGACACGGACTTGGAACGCAACGCTGACATTGTATACACTCTTTGTCTTCGGGTCAGTGAACCTAGTGACACAAGACAAAAAATACGGCCTTGATTGTCCATCCAGCAGGTACCAGTTCTCAGTTAAATGGGGAGTCTGGGTTAAAGGGAGAGTTTGGGTGAGACACTGGATTAACATATGTTAGAGTCATTAGTAATACTGAGCTGAGCTCTCCAGAGACCTCGTAAATATCCATACTGGAAAAGATTTTTTGACTTCGGCCTTGGTATTGGTGCTCAAGGCGCTACATTATCATTACCCTGATCATTGGGCCAATGAAACATTCCAAAAACAATCTTAGCTGCATGCTGCCTTTTTGGCGCAAAGCAGCTATCAATTACAATAACCATCTCTGCCCTCACAGGGACCCATTTACTCCTGGGTGGAGAGAAGCAATGAGTGACAAAGTGCCTTGCCCAAGGGCACACGCACCATGACCCTAGGCTGGACTCGAACCCACAACCTGCAGAATTACCCGCAGACCATGAATTCAATGCTCCAGACCACGAGGCCATGGGGCTCCACATCAATGACCTGGAATTCACGTTTGCTGAAATTCACATAAGGCCTATTGAAAGAAACTATACACTCACTTCTGTTTGGTGGCATAGACGTTGCATCCTGCATAGTGCATGGATGGAGAGATGAAGATCTGCTTGGTGTCAAACCCTTTAGGTTTATGGGTGTCGTTGAAATGTCCGGGCTGTTCGGTGAGTTGGTCACCGCCTAGTGCAATATCCCCTGCATCAACAAGAATACACTTTGAATTATTTATCCACTTTTATTTAACTTTGAATGTTTAAGCCAAGTACAAGCTTGGACGTTCTGCCACCTTATTACTGTTCTCTGAAATTTTTGTTGTTAAATAATGATCAAATTTGATCTTTATTGAAAAAAAAATGCCAATGAATGACCTGACCAAAAGGTTGTGAACTACAGTGGAGTCCCGTAGCGTGGCGCACTTCGACGTTTCTCTTGACTTTACTCATGCAGCATTGCCAAACTTCTTCATTGACAAACTTTATATTCATTCAGTTAAATACTGGTACTTTTACCTCAACAATGTTTGCTGTTGAACCTTTGTGAACAATTTCAGTGTCATGAAATTTAGTCTGAAATTAAAAATGTTGGCGTCCGGAAATTGGGCACGATATCGGCCGCGTGTTCCTTAACGTTACGCACTTGAACAAATCTCGGAAAAATCACAAGCTAAAATTTAAGAATTTCTTTCAAGTTGACAAATTCTGATAAACCATTATAAATCTCCACTCAACTACCCAACTACAAGTTTGTCAGAATTTTTTTTTCTTTTCATTTTTGGGCGCATTTTTAAAGGGTTCGTTGTGCATTAAATAATAAAATCGGAAAATCATGCCAAAATGAATTTCTCTATAAACTTTGCAACGGGTAGGTAAAACTCAAGATGTATGAACAGGAATGTTTAGAGCTTGATGAAAGTTCACACACTGTGAAATTTCAGGTAAAACTTTTGCTCTAGCAAGGCACTATCGGCGAAAAATCAAAGTGCGCCACGCTAGGGGCCGCACCATGTTAGGGGCCGCGCCATGTTAGGGGACATCAACAATGATTGACAGGTAGGAAGGGTCCATTTTTCTACAAGGGGGTTGATGTCCTGGAAAGTAAAAGAAATAAAAAACAACTGAACATAATTTGTTTTTTTAAAAAGGTGTCAATAATGAGGTTTTTTTTGAAATAGCGTTTGTTGTTGTTTTTGTCTTTTAGTTGTTGTTTTTTGTTTTGTTTTTTTACCTGGTAGGAGTAACATCCCACTGTCTAGAATCTTCCGGACAGCCCCTGCTTTTGTCCCATGGAAAGCCACATGCCACACGTTGAAGATATTCAGCATCTCTATGAAGCGGCTATGAAGTCTGCAAATTAAAGCAAGAAAATTGACAACCGTGAGTTCATTTAACTGTTTCATGAACAAAATTCCCAAGTTATGGACCTTTTTTAAAGCTACGTAACAGTTGTAGTTTTTCCCATCAAGTGGTTGCCAAACTATGGGAGGCCACTGAGGCAAAATCAAAGAACAACTCAAAAGACCACTAGAAATTTAAAATACCTTCCTCAATAGTATTTCTGGTGCACATATGCCATTTTGGATTTCTGACCACAGTTGAAGTGAATGTATTTGATGGCTTCCCATCAAATGTTTATGCACAAAATAACATGTCTATTGTCCAATGACATGTCATCATTTTCAAACTTCCTTTTACTAAAACCTTCCACCAAATTCTCCCCCCTACAAAAAAAACTGACTAGACAACGTAGGCCTAGTTCAATTTATTTAGAATGGCTATTCACTGGAAGTCTTCTCATGCATCTGGTGTACACAGTAAAAGGGCTGGATTGAGCCCATTCATTGGTGTTAAAGGGTAATCCTATATGACAGCACTGCTCGACTCACAGGTGACAGTCACTCGGTCAGGCCAGGCCAGGTCAGGTCAGGTCAGGTCAGTTCAAGTCAGGTCAGTTCAAGTCAGATCAGGTCAGTTCAAGTCAGGTCAGGTCAGGTCAGGTCAGGTCAGTTCAAGTCAAGTCAGGTCAGGTCAGGTCAGGTCAGGTCAGGTCAGGTCAGGTCAGGTCAGGTCAGGTCAGGTCAGGCCAGGCCAGGCCAGGCCAGTTCAAATCAGGTCAGTTTAGGTCAGGTCAGGTCAGGTCAGGTCAGTACACAGAGGCTGGCCCTCTGGGACCAGCAAATATGACTTGACACGCAAAGGAACTTACTTGATGGCAAACTTGCACCATCCGAAGGGCCGTGTGTAGCGTTGCAATGGCTCTCCCTCTTCCCTGCATTCACTGGTACCCTGGTATTTACGGCACGGCTCGCAGTAGCACTTGTTAAACTTGGGGTTCGTTTCAAAGTGGGCATCTGAAGAAATGACCAAAACCAGATGACTAACACTACATATTGTTCATAGTTTCAACATGAAATTGTTTCTCACGACACGAAGATGTGTAAAACTCTGCTGCACAAAATTCCAGTTAGTGTGTTATGAAGGACACAAAGCTCTCTCTGACTGTGTGTCTGTCACTATATATCACCCCATCTGTCGGTGCCCCTGTGTCTATTATGAGCTGTTTTAGCACACCATCTGAAACAGCTCTTGTTTTTGATAAGATTGTCTTCTTTCTTTTCCTTTTGTTTTTCTTTTTCAAACCCTCTCCATAGGATTTGTACGTTTTTTCTTCTATCCACCCACTTGGGCACTTTTGTAACTCTGATTGACTTCAAACTTGGCACATGCAAAGACCATCAACTGAAATTGTATGCCAAATTGAGGTTATGATGATGTCATGGTATCACATGACCTCACATTTAAGGTGCATTTTCAAGTCCTATATCTAGTCCTATACATCAGAGTTGAAACTTTGACTGTATGTACATCTTTGGCTGTTATATACAAAAATTACATTGACGTTTTGATGACGTGGTCATGTGATAACCAATTGGCACAATCTTTGGCATATTCGCTTACCGTGTAACCCCAGCGTAGCCTTGAACCGTAGACACAGGTTCTGATATTCACATATCCGACCGTTACCCCCGATGGCGTACAATGAGTGAGGCGTATTCTCTTTAAGACCTGTGCAAAAACAAAGCATTGTATTACATTGTATACAATGGTACTTATTCCACAATGAATTCATGTATTAAACCATTTGTACACCATAGAGTGTTTGGCATTTTTGGGCCGTACAGGGTGCAACACACAGCGTAGTTTGTGATAATGCTGGGACTATTACATTGTATTTCATTGCATTTATTACCTAATGAATTCATATACAGTGGAACTTCGCTATAACGAACACCGCTGTACCGAACATTCGGCTATACCGAACATCGGCCTTGGCTCCCAATTTTTGTGTACAAACGTACCGAACATTGTTGCTGGAAATATCAACAGAAGAGCGACAAATGGCTATTATTAAAAACTGTGTAATTACATAATTCAATAGTCGCACGTGTTGAGTCGCCTTTCAGTAACTACCAGGGCGTACTTGGTGAAGCTCTGCTACAGAATTGAAAATATTAATGGACAAGTTTGGCGACTCCGCGCGTTGTTTGTAAATGCAACTACACAATAACAATGATCCAAAGAGGGCGCCAAAAATGTGTGAAAATCGCTATACTGAACGATTACGAACAATTTCTGTGGATCCCACGATGTTCGTTTTAGCGACGTTCCACTGTAACAATACAGTATTGGGGTGGTTTTGGGCAGTACAGGGCATAACAAACTAGGCGGTTTAGGGCGGTAGAAGGACTTAACGAAATGACCAAATTGTTTTTACCGTTTTCAAAAGCTGCTTTTTCTGTCTCCTCCTGGACACCTATTGCACCCAATTCTTCAGTTACTATGGAAACCTGAAAAAAGGACAACAACAAGAGATACATTTTGTACTTGTTCTCATGAATTGCAAGATTGCTTACATAGTAAAATTAGAACATACACCCTGACAAAGTAAAGTTTCCATGTACTTTTTGCATTAACAAACTTCAGGTTACAAAATGTTGGTCCTCAAAATCCGAGTTGGTGGAGGGAAGTTGTCATGCTAGTCACACGTTTCTTTTGTGTAAGTCTGAAACTTGCATGTTCATTTATATTTCCTTACCTCTTTGCATTGTCCATACAAGTCAACCAGCGGATAGCAAGGGTTCGGAATGTGTTCAGCGATGACTCCACAATCTCGGCCATAGACGTACAGGTGTAGCTGGCCTTGGCCGTCCACTAGAACCCCCAGCGTGTCGCCTTCCTTCAACTGGTCCAAGTTGGGCCCGTTGAAGGTCCTCACCTAAATCCATGACCAAAAGAAGCAATCATAAGCTTGAACCCTAACGTCCTACGGGCTCTTTGGGGGTCAAGGACCAAATACCACAGAATACTACATGTGTTGTGCACACTTGAATGGAAAGAAATGCATACTACAGGTTACTACTCAGTAGTATTTTGTAGCTTTAGGTGAGGTTAGGGTTTAATGTAAGAAGGAGCTGCAATTTAAGAGAATTTATTCAATAAGCCGGTTTGTTTTGCAAGTGCAACATGCACACATCAAAATTCAGTAATTATCATTTCGAGATAAACGCAACAAATATTGAATCTAATATGAACAGTTGGAAAAAATGTTGCAACCTGACGCCACTTTTTTCTTCATATATCATCTCAATGAAGGTCAGTCATTGCAAAAATGATGACAAGACATGAATCTGGGAATGAAAAATATTTCCAATATTGTTAGGAAAACCTTAGAAAATTTTCTTCACTCTCCATAGACTTTGTACATAATTGCGCAAGTGACGTCAGTGAAAGAAACCCAACCCAAAATTCAAATCTCGGAAGTTGCTGTTGAGATTGTTCATAACGGTCCGCACGATAACACTGCCACATCGGTGCGTCAGTACAGCAAGATACAAAGTGTGTACAGTGAGCTTTACAGCTTTAAGGTGTAAATTGCAACTTTCACAAGCGTCAGAAATGTGAAATATGTTTTGTTTTCCCATGTAGCCTGGGTTTCATTTTCAAAATCCTCCACAAATGGCATTCAAAGCCTTTCTTTTTCATTGTCTGAGAAGTTACTGAGTAATTTGTAAAGTTGGTTGCGGGTACCCGATCCCATAATCTGGAACCGGTTCCTGACATTAACGGTCAGGTACTTAGGTACCCAGTTCAGATGCACAGCCCTAATGCAATCACAAGAAGACAGAAACGCAGGAACCATGTCCGCTTTTACAGGTACCCAGCTACTCCCAGGTGGAGAGAAACAGCTCATGACAAAGTGTCCTGCCCAAGGACACACACACATCACAACTCCAATAGGTTGGACTCGGACCCACATTTTTAGAATCAACCACATGATCTTGAGTTCTACACCAACACCGGCGGAACGTTTTTGAAAATGAAGGGACATATTCCATATGTCTCTTGTAACAATAATAATAATTCAAATTAGGTTTTGCCCTTCATCGACGTTTAAACACTGTATACTCAGTGTGTTACCTCCCGAGTGGAAGTTGGAAAAAATCACTCGGGTGGGACTCGAACCCACGACCTCCTGCTTTCTAGTGCAGATGTCTTACCACTCGACCACCGAGCTAACGGGATCAGTTGGCTGGTTCGAATCTGATGTACATAGCAGCGGGTACCGCATAAACTATTAAACGATGGAATGTTTTAAAATAGTTTATAAAATAGTTCATAAAATAGTTTATGCGGTACCCGCTGCTATGTACATCAGATTCGAACCAGCCAACTGATCCCGTTAGCTCGGTGGTCGAGTGGTAAGACATCTGCACTAGAAAGCAGGAGGTCGTGGGTTCGAGTCCCAACCCGAGTGATTCTTTCCAACTTTCACTCGGGAGGTAACACACTGAGTATACAGTGTTTAAACGTCGGTGAAGGGCAAAACCTAATTTAATAATAATAATAATGTGTGTCACTTTTATAGCGCTTTCCACCTAATGTAGGTCTCAAAGGGCTTCACAATTACTACCCCTGTTTATCAGGCAATGAGACCACTTTTCTGCAGCCGGTATCAGCGCAATCTGGTCTCTACCCTCACAGGTATCCATTTATACTCCTGGGTGGAGAGAGGCAATTGTAGTAAAGTGTCTTGCCCAAGAACACAAGCACCATATTCCCCATCAGTGTTTGAACCCACTTACCATGACACATGGATCGAACACCCTAACCACTGGACCATAGTATTTAAAAGGGGGCGGGCTAACGAAAAAAAAGTGGGAGGCACATGCCCCTCCCCTTTTCTGCTGCATAGGTTTAACACCACAACGCACCTTGTTACCATTGTGGAATACAGCATCTCCCTGCACGATCCACGTTCCTTTCTTGATGTTAGAAGCTGAGGCCGGGAAACCTAACCTTTCCGGCGATTGGTTTGTCACTCCAATCTTGACCGATGACGTCCATTCATCGGACACCTTTTCCAATTTAATCTGGGTGTTGTGAATGATTAGAACCATTTTCATATTAGGTTTATTTGTACAGACAAAAAGCTCTTATGGAAGTCTGACACAGAAGTCCTTTAGAAGGTCATATAAAATGTCTTTGTAATAGTTCGATAATTTCTGGCAAACACTCTCAACATTTATTCACTGCTTTTCAGCAAGTTGGCATGTTGGTATGTTTGGCCGCCCATACATCAACCATATACCAGCTGAAAGAGTGTTTTCGGATTGTTCTAATGGTGTAGTTTATTCATAGTGTTACCATTACAAAAAATTATAGAACAGTGCTTCAGAAGTATCCACGCACAATTTGAGGTATGGAGTGCCATGTGGTCATGTGGCGAAATGGACTGCAGTTTGATAACTGGGACCAGATAAACAAACAGGCATATCTTTGTTATTTTTGCACATATGGCCTTGATTTTTTCATCACACAAAAGATGATAGTTCAAGGAACAAATGTTACACATCACACCTTTGATTTTAATCACTCCGTGGCAGTGAGAATTTGGGTTAAAAAAGGGAGTTTTCAACTTTTGGTTATTTTTTTCACACTCTAGTGATTTCCGCATGACTGAGCAAACATTTGGTTCTGGGAAGAGCCAAGTCAATAAACAAAGTGGTAAGGAAAGGGTTAAATAAGAACCCTTCGCCCAAACTTTCTAACAACGACCTTTTAGAACTGAGACGATGTATACCTCAAAGAGTTTTTTCCTGGGCAGCGGGTATTCACTGATCACCACAGCTTGGTTGTAGCTTGCCGTTCGACGCGCCGTCAGGTTGTTGTTAAAAAGGCCAATGTTCTTGCCGTGGTTGTTATGGAAGTGTGTCGGGCTGGGATTGCTAATGGTGGAGTCCCCCTGATGAATGGGAAATGGGAACACATCCGTTGAAAATAGAAAATCGTGATTCAGTTTTGAAGATGAAATAATTATATCAATTAAATGAAATCAGAAATATGTAAAATATATAAACTGTATCAATCAATCTAATGTCTGTTCTTTCAATCAAATCAGTCATATCGATCTATCAAATCAAATGATGAAATCAATATAAATTACATCTATATCAATTACATCAATGATACATAAATAAAATATTATTTAATGAATATCCAATGATGACAATGAAAAACATTATTACGTTTTGTGTAACATTCTTTTCAATTAAAGAAAATTTTCTTTAGTTTTTAACGAAATGAAAAGAATTTAAATGTTAAACTTGTATTTAAAGTGAAAAGGACATATCAGGGATCTTTCAGAAAACCTTGACTGAAAATTGGCATTTTGACAGATATTTTTACTTTAAAAAATCTCACCTCTTTATCCGACTCTTCTCCACTACTGGAGGAGATCGACGGTGGTCTTTGGTTCTCTATGGACATGACGGAAGAACTCATGACACTGACAGCTTCTACGATGCCGTAAACATCAATGATTGCATGGACATTCTGAAAAAAAGAACACATGGCAGTCAGTGTTGTAGTCGAGTCCATCACAATTCCTCACAAGTCCATCAGTAGTCATCACAAATCCTTAAAAGTCCTCACAAGTCCATTACAAGTCCTCACAAATTCAGAAAAGTCCTCACAATTACCTCTAGTCCTCGCAAGTCTCCACAGGTCCTCTCTAGTCCCCATTAGTCCTCGCAAAGCCATCAAAAGTCCTCACAAGTTACCAAAGTCACACGTCCCTAAACATCATCTAAACTCCTCACTAGTCCACCAAAGGTCACCACAAGTCAACCTAAGCCCTCTCAATTCCTCATAAGTCCTTACAAATCCACAACAGTCCAAAAAAACCTCCCAAGTCCTCACATGTCTATCATAAGTCATCACAAGTCAGCCAAAAGTTCCAACAAGTCCTCACAAATCCCCCAAGTCCCCATAAGTCTCCATAAGTCCCCAAGTCTCCACAAGTCCAAACACATCCCTTAATGTCCCCTCAAGTCCCTACAATTGCATCCCCAGTCCTCACAAGTCCATTACAAATCCCCCAAGTTCCTGCAAATCCTCACAAGTAAGTCCTCAAAAGTCAGTCAAAGTCCTCATAAGTTATCACAAGTCTCCTCAAGTCCTCACAAGTCTCCACAAATCCCTTAATGTCCTTTCCAGTCCCAACAACTCTACCACCAGTCCTCACAAGTCCATTACAAATCCTCAAAAGTTCCCAAGAGTCCCCACAAATTCCCAAAAGTCCCACATCTCCTCATAAGTCCCAACAAACATCACAAGTCCCCACTCTGTGAAAGACAATGAACGGACAGGGTAACGCTACCTTTGGTATGTCTTTAGCGGCTGCCCCCAGATTGTCTCCATTCAGGAAGATATGCATGGTCCCATCTTGACAACGTTTGACACCGACTGTATCCCCAACCTGTCACGCAAACAGAAAGAGCAATTCCAAATATCTGCAAATGCCCCGTTTCATTATCGATTTTGAAAGTTTGGTGGAGGGGGCAGGGGGTGGGGTAGGGGGCAGGGAGTGGGGGTGGGGGTAGCGTGAAACTGGCAAAACTGGCAAAATATAACTGGTAAAAATATTGGCAATATATCATGTGATCTTCTCATGGCCATGCATTTTTCTCACCTCCAATCTTTCCAGCGTAGATGAGAAGTTCCCCTTGATGATCTGGCCGTTGTGTTTGACCTGTGACCCTTGCACGACCCAGGTGTCCTTTGACCTCAGGGAGGTCGCCGAGATGGGCAGGCCCTCCGTGATGTCGTTGGGATTCAGGGTTGTCAACCCAATGAGAAGGGTACCAGACCACTGACTGGCGACCTTTTCAACTTTGACCTAGGGTCAGGAAACATGAGGAAACAATCCCATCAAGTGTAAGTGCTTCTAGCAGCTTTCTGAGTAATAGAGCCTGTAAACTTGGAAAGAATACAGTACTTCTAGAGGTACACTCTTATCTTGTTAATCCCTTTGTCAACAAACTGGCCCCTGTTATCAGATACTGCTGCTAATACCCTGCACTTGTCAATATCAGCTGTATAAGGATAAGATAGATTAGAGGGCTGGCCAGTTTACAGTTAGATTGACTGTATTCTCTCAGAAGTTTCTAGTGGAAGTTACTCGCAATGAGCAAAACAATATCCTATATTCAGAAACTAAACACCGCAAAAAAAAAAGAAATCCAAACTCATTGGAGGGGTCACAATTTTGAATCTGATCGTCATATGATAATGTCATTTATGCAGACCTTTGGAGAATGTTGTTAGCTACATTTTATACCCTGTTTACTACCAAAGACTTTAAATTGTCCAGGACTAACTCTTGAATAACTTTTCAGGTCTTTTCTCAAACTCAACGCTCCTTCTGAATCGGAAGAGAGACCAATTTTAAGACCGGTTCATACTTCGCAAGAATTTCAATGCGAGGCAAATTCGTTAGGTGAAATGGTGCCTGCCAATCACACAGTGGGCACTGACCAATCAGATCATGACTTTTGGTCATGAGACCAAAATAGCTCGGTCAAACTCTGTATCAAGCCCTGCAAAACATTCAGATTAACCAAATGTGGCGAAGCTTATGGCCAAATCCAAAATCCAAATCGATTATTCAGCCCAGCTAGAAATTTTCAACGTACCTCAAAGAGTTCGTCCGTCTTGAGTGGCTTATTACTGAAGATGATGGCGTTATCAAACGTCCTGAGGCGGCTGGCTGAGGCAAAATCCTCCGTTAGCTGGATGCTGGATCCACACACTGTATGGAACTTGTGCATCAAGCCTGGCACTAGAAATGATAAAAATCAAGCTCAACTTTTTATTCACCCAGGATCACACGGTCGTACTCTAAACAACAGTTCACGTTTGAATATGGTACGAGTCAAATGCTACTGTTTTTCTGTCTATCAAAAGTAGGTTGTAATAGACGTCAATAATAGACAAGGCAAAAAGCCGTCACTTGAGCTGGCTGATTAGTCTTGTTGACTGAATGATTGATTATCCATGCCCTGCGGCAAGGCCCGCTAGACTGATTATGAGGATTTTATTACAAAACATGTGGTTCTTGTCAGAGGGCTGGTGTTTGGCTCCGTGCAACAAGGTCGTATCACGACGTCCTGTGTGTACATCCGGGTGAAGAAAGATACGACCTTTGACATTCTGAAACTCACATTTCACGTACGGCCAATTTTAGGAGACACAACATTGTTGCACGGACACCACGATATGGTTTATGAAATTTTTATCACCGTAATAGAAATCTCACTCTGTTGTTTACTGTAGTATGATAAATAGGGTACATGTTTTTGATCTTACCTGCTATGACCGAGTTCTGTGAGTTCTGCCTGGAGGTTACCTGTGTGTTGTTAGGAGTGGTACGGGGTACCGGTGTGGTACGGGGTACCAATGTGGGACGGGGTGCCAGTGATACTTGGGCACACTGACCGTACAGGTCAATGACAGCATACACATCTGCAGTGAATTTAATGAAATAAATAAACAAACAACCTTTTCAAGGTATTCACATTTTTGATGGGAAAAAAATACCCTGCTTTTTGAAATTCTTCAAATTCCTAATTATTGAGAAACGCTTAGCGGATGCAAAATTCGTGGGGCTGAATTGCACAGAAAATTATTTTCTAAGCAAAAATTAGTTACCTGCAAACATGTGCAAGTGCACATTAATCTCTGGCGAAAAAATGAGACTTCAATGGCACATATGGAACGCTATACTTCTGGTAAATTTTCGGGACAGACAGACCATCTGATGAACCACCAAGTGACATGTAAAAGCTCCTGCTGGGGCTTAAAAATCGCACAGGCGCCACCTTTTTGGGATATTTCCTTCTTCTGGATACCGTCCAACCGCTACACAAAATGGCGTCCACCTTGTTCGAGGAAGATGTTGGAACATTAGCAATGCTGCAGAATTGGGAAACTGCCAACATAGGGCTGGATAGCTCAGTTGGTAGAGCACCGGAACGGCAATCCGGAGGTCACAGTTCAAACCCCGCTCCAGTCAATGTTGTTTAACTTTGAAAATGTAATCTGAGAGACACTGATCAGTTCTCATCTTATTTCAACTCAGCCCAAAAAATTACTACGCAACTATTCTTAGTAGCTCTATGTTGCGCTTACATCTACTTAATGTTCCAATCTTTGATTCCCAGTTTTGATTTTGTCTTATCTAAGTTCCAACTTACCCGAAGGAACGTTTGTACACGCTATACCCATGTCCTGTCCGCTCAGGAAGAAATGAAGCGTCCCGTCCGTCGAGCGAAGAATGCCGATTCTGTCCCCCTCGTGAACAGTGTCGAGGTCCAGTAGGTATGCATTGTTCAACATTAAGCCATCCTTCATCACGCACGCACCACTGTGAAATTGGGGGAGGGAAAAAAAGGAGGGGAAATTCATGATGAAAATCAGAAGGAACAAACAGTGAATTGGAAACATCATTTTGTCATTCAAAAAAGTTTTTTTATAAAAAGATTTTTTTTTTTTACCTTAACATCCAAGTATCATGATCCAGATCAGTCATCGTGCTGGGAAAGTCAAGTTCTTCTGGAGAAATACTTGTTACACCTTTAGGAAAAAGGGGAAAAAGACAACTGATAAATCAGTAAAACTACAAAAATGTAACAGAATCACTTTTTGCATTTATAACATCTACAAAACCTACTTTATTATACATGGTGCCGTACTGATGATAAACAATTGTCTGAATATTCATTTATCAAATGAGATATTGGAAGGTGATGAATTATTCATATTTGTCTCACCCAATCAAATCCAATGTAAGACAATCAATTGACCAATCAGTGACCTGCTTATTTTCATTAAAGTTAACAAATAACCAATCATATTGACTGTGGTGGAAAACTAGTGTTACTCAAAATGTGTTACCCAATCATACTCAATGTAAAAGAGACAACCGACCAATCACAGATCTGCTTCTACTGATCCCTACCATCTATGACCAATAAATGACCTACTTCTCTACAGCAGGAAAAGTTAACATCAACTAATCATATCCATTTTAAGGAAAAGTTAGAGTTATCCAATCATGTTCACTGTTAGAAAGACAACCGACCAATCACAGACCTGCTTCTATTGATCCGGACCACCTATCCACCATCTTCTCAATGGTGATCTCAAACATTTCTCCTTCCCGTAGCGGCCTGTTGCTCATGATGATGGCGTCGTTGAATTCGCCCGTGGCGCTCGGCCGTTGCGCCCTCAAGCCGTTGTTGGTGATTTTGACGTTTCGGCCGTGCAGGTGATAGAAGCGTAGCAAGCTGTCGTCAGCTGGTACCCTTGCTCCCACCGGTTCCTCTGCATAGTCTGGAAAAAATGCCAGTAGGTTTACTGTTAAAGGTATATAGCATCATGTGCTTTTCATGCATTTTGTCCGTTTCCAAAAACACCACCACTCAAAATTCAAAACCTAACCTGGTGAACTTTCAACTCGGTTGACAACAAACTTTCAAGAAAAAAGTGAAAAACCATGCACATACTTTTGATCATGAAACACGATTTCATCATTATAACTCTTCAGTTCCAAAAATCAGTCAATTGACTGATCGTCGGAAATCACCTACATTTCTTGATTTCTTCTAAATGACAGCAAGCCAGACGGAACAATTTCATGGGTTGTTTAGTACCAGTACGATATTTAATCTAAGTAAGCTTTTTGATAATAATCTGGTATGTTACTTTCTTGATAAATGGAATTGATCCTTTGTGCCTGTGAAAGACATTTACTTGGACACTGAATTGGTTGCCAAACCATACAACAAAACGATTCACTGACACTTCTTTGGCCCACATAACAAAACATTTATTCTATATGGCCTACCTCCTGGCTCAACTATAGTGGCCTGCGTGGCCTGTCCGTACAGATCCACTACGGCAAAGAGATTTGGAGGGACGTTGGTCGCCGCGATGCCTTGATCCACTCCTCGGATGAAGAAGTGTAGATCACCGTTGCGTTTCCTCATTACACCGATTCTATCCGCTTCCTGAAGAAAAAGAAACCAAGATCAATTTTGGTATCTGTGACATAATACAACATCCGCGGATCCCACCTATCGCCTTTTATCGTGGTCAATCCTTATGTTTTGTGACATCTAAAAAGTCAAATTCTTAAACGACCTCAAATGTCCCCTAGATGACGTTTGCCCTCCAATTTCGGACGACTTGTGATGAACCCCCACCCTAAGATCACTCCATCCAAATTACATTGAAATCCATCAACTTCTGTCATGTCTGTAGACAAAGACACATTTGAAGCCTATTTGAACCATGACCTCTAATAACCCCTACATGACCTTTGACCAATGAAGAATTGTGTCGTCTTACCCAAGAGTCACTGCATCTGAGTTTCATCAAAATCCATGAAAGCATGTAGAAATTATACATTCTTTTCTAAAACTTGACCTTAACTTTTATGGGGATACGGTCCTAACAGTCATACAGAATTTAGGTCTGGTAAGTGTCCCCCAAAACTTGGATTAGGCGACACAAAAATAACTCTTGACAACATCAACTTTCAAAAAATTGTTTTTCTCCTAACAAATCAATTTGTATGTTCTCATGACATATACTAACTGTGCACCAACTGCCATACTTGTATCATCAAAAGCACACTTTTCCAAATATTTCCCCTATCTGCCCCACTATAGTGGGTCTAACTGTGGATAAACCTAATGAGATAATTCCTTAGTTGTCTTACCCTGAGTCGATCCAGATTCAGCCCATACTCATCCACGATGGGGCTACCGTTGTGCATGATACCGTTGCCTGTCATCATCCACGTCCCGCTACGTACGTTGGTCATCGTAGACGGGAAATCTGACCAAAGAAAGCAGAGAAAACCCAAAACGCAATGTTTAGATATGTTGGCTCATCAAACATGCGTGGTTTGTTCCACATGAGGAAACAACTGGACCGTTGAAGCCCCGCCGACATTTCATTAACCCTAACCATGCTAAATGCAACAGAAAGCAACATAATCCACTGTTGCATTTAGTAGGGTAACTACGCATAGGTCCAAGGCGATACAACAGAATCCAATGTTGCGTTTGGTTGCATTTAGCAGGGTAACTGCTTGGTACCACTGGGTTCACTGCACAATACAACAGAATCCAGCCTTGCATTTTGCTGCATTTAGCATGATTCTCATTTCAACTTTGCTGTATTTTTTTGCATAAAGCATTGTACAGCATGAAAACCTTATGGGAGTTAGGGTTGAATCTCCTACCCAAACACACACTCAGTCAAAATCAGTCAAGTGACTGTTTTCAACAGTTAAGAGCTTCCAGCCTACACAAAGCAGGATTGACTGGCTGGGACTGTTTATGTAACTGGATACAGCTATGCTTTGACTGTAGGTGATTGATAAGCCAGCTGTGCCTACCACTTGCCTGCTTTTTTCTGTTGACTGAATTTGACTAGTCAAGAGTGCTTGCTCAAATATGATCTGTCTGTTGACTGAATTTGACTAGTCACAGTGCTTGCTTGCTTGAAATATGATCTGACTGCTGGTGACTAGCCTGTGTAAAAGGTATGGCAGGGGAAGAGGATTGATTTTCTGACTGTCTGATTGTTCAGATAGCAGGAGGGTTAAGCATTGTACCTGATAAAAACCTTATGGGGACTAGCGTTAATTCATGTATTCTGGGTAAAATCGAGCGTCCGACTTACCTAGTTCCTGGGGGGCGTGTTTAGTCAGCCCAATCTCGATAGACCCCGCCCACTTATCGACGATTCTATCGATGCGTATCTCAAACATTTCGTCGCTCTGCAGGGGACGGTTGGTCAAAACCACGGCGTTGTTGAAGTCATCCATGGCGCTAGGAAAACATAACAATTCAGTAAGGACAATGGTAGTAATATTACAACTCTACTCAATTTAAGAAATATAAACACAGCTTGTAATGTTGCAGTCTTGTTGTACTTGTTATGGTTCACAAGTTGTCGCAAATCCTTACAAGTCACCACAATCCCAAATGTCCTCTGAAGTACTCACAAGTTCCCTCAAGCACCTACAAGTCCCAAAAAGTCTCTTCAAGTCCTCACAAGTCTGTCTCAAGTCCTCACAAGTCTGTCACAAGTCCACCGCGAGTCCTCACAAGTCCCTACAAGTTCTCACAAGTCAAAAAAAGTCTACACAAGTCCTTCCAATGAAGTCCGTCACAAGTCCTCACAAGTCTTTTCCCACAAGTCCTCACAAGTTCACACAAGTCCTCACAAGGTCATCACAAGTCCATAACAAGTCAATCTCCAGTCCACTGTTGTAGTATTCGTACTCGTACTTGTTCTGAATCAATTAAATAGAATATTGAACACTCTGGGACCAGCTTTACTAGACTTGCCTAGTCTTGTTGTTTACTTACTTTGGCCGATGGGCTGTCTGTCCGCCGTTTATAACCTGGGCATGTATGCCACACGTCTCGTGGAACTGTGGTCTGTCTGTCCATTCCCAGGCACCCGCTACATAAAAAAGATATTACCATAGAAATATACATTCTTTGTGTGCCAGCAAACATAATTTTTTTTCTGAGAAGCCTATAAGGATATGGTCATAAGGGTAGCGTCCATCATTTGTAATTTGTGCACTGTTTGTTTGAAGCTACAAACATGCTCAAAATCTAAAGGAGGGTGCTGAACAACTAACCTGATGAACTTTTCAGCTCAGTGAATGCTGTATATTAAGAGAAAACAATATTCTAGGATCTCGATTTCAAATCAAAAGTTGCCGAGTCACGTTTTGAATTGGGCCTCAATTCAGCATCCGAGACACGTTCTCACTGAACCGATTGCAGCTACGGGATGTCGTGCACCGATCTGACGAATTGTAGCAACTGCCCGCTTGTGTGCGTCGTGTCAAAAAAAGTCTGGCTTATAAAAGCAGGTTACCAGCCAAAACTCAACGTGATGTATATTGCTCGTGATTGGTATTCAGTTGTTTTTTGCTTAGCATGAAAATCACGTGGAGTTTTGGCTGATAACCTGCTTTAACAAGCCAGCCTTTTTTGTGCTAAGCAAATTTTTGTGCTTAGCAGCGCCGTGAAATTGGGCCCCAGAAGGATCCATATTGTTAGACTGGACACAAATATTTCAACAAGGTGCCAGGAATATATTACAAAGTTTGCAAAAGGACAAACAATTCCATTTTTTTGAAAACCAACCTTCAAAGACATTGGGCAACTCTTGCTGTGCAAGGGAGCGTAAGTAGCTGAGTCTCGGCACGCGATGGTCCACAAAGCTGGCCATGGCGTGGGTGGCCGGGGGTACCCATTCCAGAATGGTCACTCGGACGGCCATGCCGTACAGGTCAACGACCCCGAAGATGAGCTGAGGGGAGTTGGAGGCCGCGCGACCCTGATCGTGGCCGTTGATGAAGAAGTGGAGGTCGCCGTTTGCCTTGCGCATGACACCGATGCGATCACCTTCCTTTGAAAACAAAACAAAACGAACAAAAACAATTGACTAATTAGCCAAATCAAATTTTGAAAAAAAGTGTTTAAATTTGTGGAGTCAACATGATTCTATAATATAAAATACAATTCAAAATTAAAGTTTCAAAAATTTCTGAAATACTTAATGTGTTGAAATGATTACCATAATTTTCGGAATATAAGCCGCGCGGCGTATAAGCCGCAGCACGCATCAATCTGCAAATTAAGATTTGAAGTCGGGGTATAAGCCGCATCGGCGTATAAGCCGCACCAACCGCAGCGGTTTCATTTTGTAAGGCCTCCAAATTCTAGTCAAAATGCTCTGAACCAGTTCCATTTACACTACGAAAGCTATAAAAGGGCCACATAAGTTATGTCAAATCATTTACAGTCGATTACTCTTACAAACAAATATGGAAATTGATGATGAGAAATAAAAAACAGGAATTGCTGCCTGCTGGCTCGTCAGTGAGCCTGTGCCGGCGACAGACATTATTTTCCCCCAGCACTTGAGAGAGTATGCAACCCACCATGTGTTGTCTGACTGGAGCGCTACAAATCCTGCTTTGTGGCAACAGACGCTGAGTTGTTTTGTCCTAAAGGATAAACAAGTCCGTTTTTAAAGCAAAACTTATCAAATTGTTGTGATTACTAACGAGTAGTAACGTCAAAAATTCAAGTTTGGATCGTAACGCGATGCTGAGATTTTTATGGACGAATCCATTAATTTCGTAAGGGGTGATTTCCCCCTGTTTTGAGTTTTACATCGTTTCTTGAATACATTTCAAGAAAAAAAATTATATTGTGACGTTGAACAACTGATTATCAAATAAAGATATGTTTCAAACTCCATAAAAAGTATTAGTTGTCTTTTTTCTTTTTTTAAACAGGGGAAATATTGGTAATTATTGTTCCCAAGAAAGTACACCCCTTTATTACCACAAATGGTGTGGTCCATGGGGAATTCATGCAGCATGCATGCAGCATATGCAGCATCACGTACGGCCGGTTGTCGATGTCCAAGGGACAGCTTTCACTAGTCGTACTTTTTACCGCTCGGTACCTTTTTGTGGGACGTGCCGCTTTCGGTTTGTTAATGACTTTCTTAATTGATAATTATTTCAGCAACACATCTCTTCTTGTACCAGTACATTAAATACACATGTAAATGTCATTTTTATTCTTCAAGTCTCGGCGTATAAGCCGCCCTGTGTATAAGCCGCAGTAATCATTTTCATGGGCAAATTCAACGTATAAGCCGCGGCTTATATTCCGAAAATTACGGTACATACAAGTGGCCACAATCAAGTTCTCTATACTTTAGGATGTGCTTTTGACATAATATTTGAAAGGGGAATTTTAGAAGATTGTGCTTTTTAGAATCTCCAAGGAGCTAGTCCTTGAGCTACTGTGGCGATATACTCCATATAAATTCTCCTCACCATGATGATCCTGTTACAATAATTTTGCTATTGTCATTTGTTAAAGGAGAATTTGTAAAGAAGATCTCTTCCAAGGTTTTGAAGTACTTACAGCAAGATCATCCAGATCAAATTCTCCATACTCCCTGGTTGTTCCTTTGCCATTGGTCAGAATGCCACACCCACTCATCATAATAGTACCTAGTTTAAAAACAAATATCCAATGCCCTGAATATACATTCGATTATGTGACTTACAATGCTGATTACATCATGTGACCTTGCATCATGTGACCTTCCATCACATGACCTTATACCATGTGACCTTACATCATCCAACCTTTGACCTACCTGATCGGAGGTTGGTCATGGTGGAAGGGAAGTCCAGTGCTTCAGGATTGTGGGTAGTGACACCGATTTCTATGGACCCAGACCACTTGTCAATAAGCTTGTCTATTCTTATCTGGAGTCATAAAGAGAAAATCACACAAAAAAATGCTTTGGTAAGATGGGGAGTAGGTAGGGTTGGACACTACTTAACACAAACTGGCTTTACATCCAAACCGTATTAACCCTAACCCTGCTAGACACTAAACAGCGAAACAGATTTCCTAAGACATTGAGAGCTAGTCCCATTGAACAATGTCACAGTTACCATCCAGTTGCAGATGCCAACCAAAGCAGCAGTTCAGCCTAGGGAATTTTGACTTGAACAGGGCATATTGACCCGAGCAGGCAATTTTGACCTGGGCAGCCTTCTCATTTTGATAAGTGTTGCATGTTGCAGCATATAGGCAAAATACCCTGGATGGTTAGAGTTAAGAAAACCTTTGAGGGAAATACAACACATTTCGTCGTATCTGTGCAACAAGGTCGTATCTCCTAAAATGGGCCGTACGTGAAACGCGAGTTTTAGAATGTCAAAAGGTTGTGTCTCACTTAAAATAACCCCGATGTACAGTACACACAAAGACATTGGACGTTGAGATATGACCTTGATGCAGGGAGCATATTCGCGCGAGATTGTTGCAGAATGGAGTGACGACCTTGTTGCACTAACACGACTATTTGTTCAAAAGGCAATTCATTCAAATTCAACGGACCCAATAGCTACCAACTTGACGACAACATCAATAAAATACGGCAGTTAGGTTGGCGTTGCGGTACTTTCTTCGCCTTCCAACCCTGTGACTCAGGTTCGAATCCCGCGTGGGCCAACATGTGGATTGGGTTTTCAGTCCCTACCTGATTCCGTGGGTTTCCCCCAGAATATTCTTCTGGGGTTTACCTCCCACCTCTAAAACTGTAATTTCTTCTCGTTATCTCCTCTGTACAGGTTTCTTCAGGCTTGCGAGCTACAGTGCCTAGGGCCCTTTTGAGGAATCCTTGGTTTCATTACCAGAAATAAATAATATAAATAAATAAAGAGACTTTCAGTACATGAACATTTTCAAAGGGTTACTTACCTCAAACAGTTCGTTACTTCGCAGTAGCCTGCTGGTCATGACAACGCCGTTATTAAACTCTTCCCTAGCGTTGCCCCTCTCGGCCGTTCTTCCGTTGTTCATCAGCGTAATCAAGGACCCGTGCCTTCTGTGGAACAGCAATGCGTCGTTGGATGGTAGGTTGACGGAGGCGTTGTCTGGAGGGACTGGGAGCTCATCGCCCCTCTCCGTGTCCTCAGTTTCTGTGTCATCGTCATCGTCGTCTTCTTCGTCACTGTCGTCCTCGCTGGTTGATGAGTCTTCAGGGCTGTGACTCACTCCCTCTAAAAGTTAGGAAAAAAACATGGTTTTTTAATCATGTGTAGAGATAGTAGTGCTAGTAAAGATAGTAGAGGTAATAGAAAAGTGGTAGTAGAGTAGATGTAGTAGAGGTAGTAGAGTAAGTAGAATAGACATAGTAGAGGTACAGGAGGTAGAGGTAGTAGGGTAGAGGTAGTAGAGTAGAGTAAGTACAGATAGGAAAATAGAAGTAGTAGCAGTAGGGTGGACGTAGTAGAGTAGAGGTAGTGCAGGTAGCAGAGGAAGTAGAATAGAGGTAGTGGAAGTAGTAGAGTAGAGGAAGTGCAGGTAGTAGGGTAGAGGAAGAAGAGGTAGTAGACTTATTAGAGTAGTAGAGGCATCAGATGTAGTAGAGGTAGTGCGGACAGTACAGTGGAGGTAATAGAGGAAGAAGAATAGAGGTAGTAGAGGTATATGTAGTAGAGTATAGTAGGGTAGAGGTAGTAGACGTATTATTGTACAAGAAGTACAGATAGCAGAGTAAAGGTACAAATGCAGTAGGAGGGTAGAGGTAGTAGAAGTTTGGTAGAGGTAGTATAGTAGAGTTAGTAGAGGTAGTAGAGTATGGAGGTAGGTAGTAGAGTAGAGTTAGCAGAGGTAGCACGGAAATTAGAGTAGAGGTAGTAGAGGTAGTACAGATGCTAGTAGAGGTATTTGGGTAGTGGTAATATATGTAAGGGTAGTTGAGGTAGGTAGTAGAGTAGAGGTAGTGGAGGTAGACAGTAGAGTAGAAACAGTAGTCTAGTAGAAGTAGAGTAGAGGTAATAGGAATAGAGGTAGTAAAGAGAGTAGAGGTGGTAAAGGTGTTAAGTAGAGTAGAGGTCTTTGAACTACAAAGAAAATGGGGAATTGCCAGCATAGGGCTAGATGGGTCAGTTGGTAGAGCAACAGTTTGAAATTCCGGAGGTCGCGGGTTCAAACTCAGCTCCTTTCAATTGCTGTTCAACTTTTAAATCACAAACATTTCTGTTTTTATGCTGAGTCTTTGTAACCGTAAGCAAAGACAAAAATCACCAAAAATTACATATATGACTCACGTGTTGTGTCAATCAAGGTGACCTGTGTGCATTTGCCGTACAGATCCACCACTGCGTACACCCTGGATGGCAATCCTGAAGCAGCAACGCCTTTATCCGCACCATTGTGGAACACATGAAGCTCCCCGCTGCGTGTTTTCTGCACTCCGATACGATCGCCTATGCTACAGCCGTCGAGATCACAGGCGTACTCATCCAGAACGGCTTCACCTATATCACAAATGAAGCAGCAGGGTTATCTACATACATGAATATTCATAATGCAGACTCTCAAACTGTGTATGAGAGTCCCAAAACTTAAAGGGAAGATACAACATTAGCAAACATCGAAAAACGAAATGATCAAATTATCACGAAATACCTTACTGGATGTTAAGGAATGACAGTCTTTAGCATCCTGTAAAATTGTGGCTCCTGGTGTGCTGACCTTTCCAAGAAAAATAGTATTTTTCCAACGCTGGTCGGCCGACCAGCGTTGGAGAAAACCGGCTTTTTTCAAAAATTGCTCGCAATTTTCCATATATAGTTATTCTACATTTTCTTTGCAATTGATCACACACCTGTGAAGGAGTACAAGCCTGGTAGACTGATTCCCTGACCTTACAATTCTTCAAGGTATGTAAATTACTCTGTTTCATCTTAAGTGGGGTCCGGGAACCAGACTACAAAAACATGATTGGTTTTCTTGGTTTTTCCGGCATCTACAAGCCCAAAAAGTGAAACAAGTCAGTTGAACAATATTTGCTATAGCACACTAATCCTCCAAATCCATTTATTTCTGAAAATTGCAGCAAAAGCAAGTGTTGTACATTCCCTTAAAGGTATTGAAAACATGCAATCCAAGAAAATAGACTGGCCATGAAACAACCAGTCCAACACCCCTTCAGTACTGCATCAATCAACTGTGTCAAAAGAAACATCTGGTACCTGATCTCCATTGCTACACATTCTCTCCATAGTCATCAGGTCATGCCACCAGACTACTGAAGGGTCAATCTTTTCAAAAAAATTGACATGTACCAGTCAATAATCTTTGGCTTCAAATTGAAATCACTTTGCATCTCTCTTAAGTCATGTTGAAGAAAAGTCTCCCTTATAAATTGAAATGAGACCTCAAACTTGAGACCTGAAGTACTGAGGACCTTGTCTTTGCCTCATGAAAATTGTGGAGAATTTTGTTTACGATCTTAATGCAAATTCCACCGTTTGGCAAACTGGGGCCTTAAGTGCTCAAAACGATGCAAAAGAAGATCAGGCCAACTTCACTCACTCTTTAGCCAGCAAATTTCTCCAAAACTTTCATTGGGCAAAGAAAAGGTCCTCGGTATTTCACCAACCAAGTTTGAAGACTTAATTCAATTTTTAAAGGAGAATTTTCTTCAATATTTGGCAGTGGCTTGCATGTGAAAGGGAAGTCAAGTGATTTCAAAATGGGGCTAAAGACTAGACTTGTACATGTCCATCCATGGTCCAACTGTTTGACAAGACTGACTTCTTCATTCATTGTCATTAGTCTGGTGCCTGACTATGGAGAAATGTGTAGAAATAGTGACCTAGTACCCGACATCCTAGATATTTCTTTTGGCACAGCCAGCTGACAGTTGATTGATGCAGTGCTGAAGAGTTGTTGGACTGGTTGTTTCAGGCGTCAGTCTATTTTCTTGTATTGCATGGTTTCAGTACCTTAAGCTTTGGGACTCTCATACACAGTATTGAGAGTCCTAAATTTCCGGACTTCCGTTTGGCAACTTACCATCATGAAGTACTGTAGAACCAGACAAGATCCAGGCTCCATCACACAAACCGGTCGCGCTGGTGGGTAACTCCAAATTGCCTGGATCCAGGGACGTAACACCGATTTCAATAGAACCACTCCATGTTTCCACCTAGAAAGAAATACAACAAAAATCCACACACATTTAGTTATTGAATAATTACTTAATACATTTTTAATAAATTAATAACCAAAAGGAGTGTTGTGGATAGGGTTTTGATTTTTTTAGGTAAATTTTATAGGTAATCGTGTAGTTTAGGACACCTCCATTTTTTACAAGTTCCGTTCAAAAACGACTTTTGTGAGCGACAGTTGCAAAAGGACTTTCGCAGCCTCAACATGCTCAAGCAGTCTTATTTTTTTTTGAAATTTTTGAAAAGTACTTTTAAATAAAATTGGACTTTCTCATCTTTTTGGTACTTGGTCTTGGAACTAAAAAGAGTCTTTTCGTTCCCTTAGGGAATAGGGATGTGGAACAGGGTTCTAAACTACACTAGGCCTATTACCAGATTACAATTGTTTTTTTTTGGACAATGAAGATGACAAAATGCAAAACAAAAATAAACATGATTAAAGATGATGATCACCGCGCTGCTAGCATACGCACCGTGATACTGATAGGCCTAGGCTATGTGCAAATTGCATTGATTTGCATGATGGCAATCAACTGAAAAGACTTTAAAAAATTGCATTTCTACCAAAAGATAGGGCAACTATAAAAAAAATAACGTTATTATTTTTGGATGGTTTATATTTCATGTATTTAACGTTTTGTCTGGTTTAACTGAGTTTTAAGAATTATTAAGTCTTGACTTGCAAGTTGCATGACTTTTGTCAAGTCTTCATTTTTCACAGAAAATGAGAAATCATTTTGGAAAGATGAAAAAGACCGAGAAAAAAAAAACCAAAACAGGCAGTGGCAGCGTTCGTAGCTGGGTCATTCTTCTTTCGTGTCCCGATACTTTTATGTTCAAAATGTTGAACATGTTTCAAGGGCAAGGCTCCAAGTTCAACATGTTCACCAAGTTCAAGTTCAACATCAACAAAATAATGTCTGACTCTGAACAGCTAGCTGAACTGAATGTTGAAACGCGACTGTCCCACCTTCTTGTCAATTCTAACTTCGAAGATTTCGTCCTCTTTTAAAACTGACTTGCTGATTACGAGTCCATTGTTGAATTCTTGCCGTGGCTCATTTCTACTCGCCGTTCTACCGTTGTTGGTCAGTAAAATCAAGTTGCCATGTTTCTGATGAAATCGTCTTCTCATTGTTGTCGCCATGATTTCACCCGAGTCGCCATTTTACGTGAAAGATTTCGACTGTTGAATATTCATCGCAATGAATATGCACTACCAGAATTCCGTAAGTAATTGGCCAACCTTTTTCGTGGCTCCATTTATCATTTGGTAAAAAGCCTAAGCGACAATAAAATAGAAACCAAGATATGTATCAATTTTGGCTTTTTATCAATAAAAACATGTCAAGAAAAGGAGAACAAATACAAGTTTATAGGAGTTATTTTAAAGTTGTTGGATTTATATCTTCATATTCTCCTTTCTAAATATTGTAATTGTTAACAGCATGTCCCTATCAAAATGGAAGAGTCTAACATTAAAAGTACCACACGTATAGATAATATAGAATCTGTGTACCTTCCAGTGCGGCCTGTTGGTCTAGAGGCATGATTCTCGCTTTGGGTGCGAGAGGTCCCGGGTTCGATTCCCGGACAGGCCCCGCAGATTTTTTGTCTCAGCATTTTCCAAAAATTCTTTTCCTTGACAAGTACTGCCTTTTGCAGCGTACTTTTATATATGCATAATTCTTCTCCAACATATGTACATTCCCTTTTTTCTCTCTCTTAATAATAGACACGCCATGCCTTAGCACTAAGAAAAAAATTGGAGTAAAAAACAAGTTTTCATTTTCATCTATTAGTTTTCCCTTTCCCCCAGCCAATTCAATTTGTATGAACAATGAACATAACCACCATGTCAACAACTAATCTCCATAAACTTGTCAGAAGACAGAAAAATACTCACTTTTAAAAAAAATTCAGTTGATAAACATGGTTGATAAACATGAAAACAGAAAATCACAAAATCAAAGAATTAAAACTACAAGAGCAAATTTTACAAACATGTATCTTTTTTTATTGCACCCTCTTTCCATCTGCAAATCATGAAGTCATCCTAAACATGTTTCAGTCAACTTTAACAGAATACAATCAAAATCGTGTTATCACAAAAAAACTCCAAAACTTCCTTTCAATTCTTCTCATAAAAATTAACCTGCAAACCAATTCGGGCGATTCACAAATCACAATGCAGTGCGCCACCAAGAGTTTGCCATGGAGAGTCAACTTTTCAAGTTTATGGTCGACAAAATATGGCCCATTTGAATGAGTGTCAGTAGACAACTTGAGCTATTATGTTATAGATAGGGGCATAGCGTTCTGCCGCCTTATAAAAAATCACCATATTAACACAAAGAAAAGAAAAGGGCAAACATATAGTCGAATCATACGCTTACAAAACTACTGACCGGAAAAAAGGAACAATGTCAAATGCCCCGCGCTGCGAATTTGTCGACCATCTCCCACAATGCACTGGGGAAAAATGAACTCTCCGTGGTAAACTATTGGTGGCGCTCTGCATTGTGAATCGCCCAAATTCAATTCTAGTCTTCGACCAATACAAGTACATGTATAAGCAGAGCCATGGAATTGGGCCAATTTCCATGAATGATTTTCCCCAGCGTTTTCTGCAAACAACAAGCTTTTAAATCCTTGCACATCACGCACAATGCATCAAGTTTAACCCTCCTGCTATCTGAACAGTCACAGACAGTCAAAACAAATCAATCCTCTTCCCTGCCATGCCTTTATCCACTGGCTAGTCACCAACAGTCAGATCGTATTTCAAGCAAGCACTGTGACTAGTCAAATTCAGTTAACAGACAAAAACAGGCGAGTGGTAGGCACAGCTGGCTTATCAATCACTGGCAGTCAAAGCAAAGCTGCATCAAGTTACATAAACAGTCACAGCCAGTCAATCCTGCCTTATGTAGGCTGGGAGCTCTTAACTGTTAAAAAACAGTCACTTGATTGATTTTGACTGAAAGGACAACTTGGCACAGAGTGTATGTTTGCATAGGAGGGTTTAAACCTGTTCAGTTTGGTGCCATGTGATGCGATCAAGCTACATGAGTCGTTTGTCGACCCTGGTCCATTTTTTTTTTTTACAGATTTGAAAAGAGCACAATCTCAGCATTACTGCTGTGAAAACTGCATGCTGATACCATATTTAGTTCAAAAATTATGAAAGTCAGAACACCGAAAGATGTGATGAAGTGATGTGATGAAGTGGCCCTATTTTGGCCTGAATCTCCAAATGAAAATTTCTGACAAACGACTTATTTAGCTTAATTGCATCACATATTTGGTGTAAAAAAAAAAAAATCAAAATACAAATTATCATTACATTCAGTGATTAAAAATATTTAACAGTTACAATAGATTGGTTGCACTGCAGCCATGTTTGAGGCATGCGCTTTTGTTCAACAGAGATACGCATGAGTACTCCTCTTGTGCGGCCATTGTTGACAAATTAACATAACAACGCACACCTCCAACATGGCTGCCAAATGCAGCCCCTCTATAACGACTTCTACACATAATCAAACCAACGCTATTGTAACCTTATACACAAGTGCTTAACTAAAAAAATACTCAAAAGTATTTACACTTTTTACAATTGTACGAAATAGCCTTTTTGAAGCTGAGCGACGTGAATGTCAAGTTAATGTCTTTCAACAGGGAATTTAAAAAAATAATCATTTCAATCGTATTTACAATAAAAACTCAAAATTTGAGAGAAGACAAGACGATTATATTTTCAATTTTACAGTTCCTTAGTGTAAAAATGTGAGTTTGCAAAAGATTTGTTGTAAGGAATGGATCGTGAATATAAACCACACTCAGAATGCAGTTTACCGTGCTTCATCAACGGACTAAGATAACAGAAACGCTTATTTACACGCTCAAATTTCAGAGAAACGACAAAGTTGAGACCTTATGTTAAGGAACAACAAACAGTTGTCCCAATATTGATGTAACACTTTGCGATTTAAACTGATACCGTGAGCTGTCATCCGAAATGGCCATTGATTATTTCAAGTTTTTTTGGGGGAAAAAACCCACCAAAACATTGGGGAAAAAAAACATGGGCAACATCTGAATGTCACGTTTCCAGGTACATTCTACAAAATACAAAAAGTTTGCAAGACACCCAAGCTAATAATCATTAGCTGTGCTGTGGTCCAATGGTTACGGTGTTCGACTTGTGTGCCGTGGTACATGAGTTCGAATCCTGATTGTGGGTACATGGTGCTTGTGCTCTTGAGCAAGGCACTTTACCATTATTGCTTCGTCCTTTGGAAAGGTCCGCATGATAATACAAGTCGATGCATCAATACGGCGAAATACAAGCGTGTAAGGTGAGCTTTACAGCTTTACGGTGTAAACTGCAACTTTTGCGAGCGTCATAAACATGAAATATGTTTTGTTTTCCCGTGTAGCCTGGTTTTCCTTTGGAAAATTCCCCACAAATGACATTCAAAACCTTTCTTTTTCATTGTCTGAGAAGTTACTGAGTAATTTGTAAAGTTGGTTACTGGTACCCGATCCCATAATCTGGAACCGGTTCCTGACATCAGCGGTCGGGTACCTGGTTCTGATGCACACCTACATGTACTTCTAAACACACAAACTTCTGGGATATCCTGAGTTTGAGAACAGAAGTTTTTTTTTTCTATTTGTATCTACATTTGGACCACTTCTTATGAATATTCATTGGCTCTTTTTGAATTTGAGGTCAATCACTTTCTCATTTTCATTTGAAGAAAAAACAAAAAACAAATACAATATCCAAATTAATCTTGTTAAATAGATTCCGAATACATATGAAATGTTGAAACCATGGAATGTCTTTATACAGGTTTTTCTTCTTCAAGTGGTCCTCTGTTTGGGATGGGTCACACGTGTCGTGAGGGGAGCGTTTACATCACAACCAATATACATTACACACAGCGTCATTTCTTCTTCTTGTCTGGTGTACATCGTGGGCAAAACCTGAAATTGTATCGGGGAATAAAAGAAAGGTAATGCAACAAAATCCGCTCGGACAAAATGTTGCTTAACCTGTTGTAGTTGAGGTATTTGTGATGGATCAAAAGTCGTCACAAGTCCATCACAAGTCATAACAAGTCCATTAAAAGTCGTCACAAGTCCATCACAAGCCATAACATGTCCATCAAAAGTCGTCACAAGTCCATCACAAGTCATAACAAGTCCATCAAAAGTCGTCACAAGTCCATCACAAGTCGTCACAAGTCCATCACAAGTCATAACAAGTCCATCAAAAGTCGTCACAAGTCCATCACAAGTCGTCACAAGTCCATCCCAAGTCATAACAAGTCCATCACAAGTCATAACAAGTCCATTAAAAGTCGTCACAAGTCCATCACAAGTCATAACATGTCCATCAAAAGTCGTCACAAGTCCATCACAAGTCATAACAAGTCCATCAAAAGTCGTCACAAGTCCATCACAAGTCCTGCCAAGTCCATCACAAGTCCATCACAAGTCGTCACAAGTCCATCACAAGTCGTCACAAGTCCATCACAAGTCATAACAAGTCCATCAAAAGTCGTCACAAGTCCATCACAAGTCCTGCCAAGTCCATCACAAGTCCATCACAAGTCATCACAAGTCCATCACAAGTCGTCACAAGTCCATCACAAGTCATAACAAGTCCATCAAAAGTCGTCACAAGTCCATCACAAGTCCATCACAAGTCCATCACAAGTCCATCACAAGCCATCACAAGTCATTACAAGTCCATCACAAACAAGTCCATCACAAGTCCATCACAAGTCGTCACTAGTCCATCACTTTACTTTGAGTTGCGTTAACATACAAAAACATTCACCAGTAGACTGGTTCTCAGTCCCTACATTATCAATGCTGATAGGGGCAGATACCAGTCTACCCAGTAAGACCTGAATCATTGTAGGGCCACAAATAATTCATAATTTGTAAAGTACTTCATAACTAAACGTTGGCCATTTTTTGGGTTCAAAATCTCTCTCAAAAATGAATAAGTTTTGTAATTCAGGAAAACACGGCTATTTTAAATACAAACCTATTTCAGAAGCAGACAGAGAAATGAAAATTACAACTTACCATTTTCCTTTGGGTTTGGCTGTCAGTCCAACGCAAGCGAAGTGAAACCATTCAATAGGACACTGTCAAAAACAAAACAAAGCAAACATGAATATTTTACAAAAAGTTTACAATACGGAAAACAAGGTTAGGTAAGTCTAGTAACGCTGGTCGCAAAACAATGTAACGCTGTCCTCAGGTTGACCTTGCGACGACAAAGAACAGTCAGAGACTGACTTTTCAGGATCAAGCTGCGCCTGAGTTACGACCGTCAGGAACAAATAAGTCGCCGATTTTTTGCGACCGGAGTGTAACTGCGACGATTTTAACGCGATCAGCATCAGTCAGCACTAAAAAACTTAAGTCGCAAGAGTAGAAAAATTTCAACTTCTGCACTGCCACAGAACATCTTACATCGAGAATCAAACGCAGTTGACCTGTGTGAAGTTACAACATTGTGTGGGCATCCAAACCATCTACAGTCAAGTCTCGTTAATACAAACTCGTTTGGACCTAGCCAAATTGTTTGTTATATCAGCATTTTGTATTAAGAGGAACATCAGCCCCACTCATTGTGCACATAAATGCACAGTTGGGACCGAGGACTTATGTTTGTTATAAGCAGAATTTGTAAAACAGAGTTTGTACTGACGAGAGTCGACTGTAATTTCATTGTGTAGCCAATCCGTGTACGACAAAATGGTTGAATGAACAGATGAGGCCATGGAAGATTGTTTGATTGTAATCAACATGCGCACTGCCATTTTGAAGACGTCACTGATAACGTCTATGCCGAGGAATCATCGTCGCGTCATCGGTGACGTAAGCACGATTGTGATTATTTGTGTTGAGATGCCGTTTGTTCCAAGAGAATCACACGATTACTCAGTTTTGTGACCTCAGGCTGAGCATAACGTTTCTTCTTGATGCCGACAGTTCTGTCTTGGCGCAAGCAAATCGCAGGTCGACCTGAGGCTGCTGTAAGTCAAAACCCACAAAATTCTATTCAACGAATCAGAATGGCAATTCAAAAAAGTCTTTTCATGCATCTGGTCTACACCATGTGACAGCTTTTACCCATTCACTGCGTTATGGGGCGATCCTATACAACAGCACTGCCCGGCTCTCAAGTCACATGTCACAATCAGTCAGTCAGTGAGGTAGGTACAACAAGGACACTAAGCTGGCCCTCTGGGCTAGCCCAGCAAGAATATGGCCAAGGTACTCACATCTTGGTTATCGCAGCCGATCATCTCCCCGTACGAGACCTGGTGACACAGACAGTAGGTGGGCTCGTTGGGATCCACGGGCATGTCAAGGACATCCGACGGAGAATTCATCACGGCGGGCAGAGTCAGGATTGGCGCTACGGCTCTGAAAAACAAAACACAAAAGATGTTAACAGAATAATTTCTCCAGCCAAAAGAGTAATTATAAAAGAAAATCTGATGAAGTGCAAAAGGCTTTGTGACTTAGTCACTCAGTGTGTGTGGTCTCCATTCAAACACAACCTGGCTTTGCTGCTCCGTCAAATGCCAGTCCGAGTCAAGATGGTCTTGAGGAAAGACAACCTCCAAGTTAAAATATATGGAATATTGAGGGATGGGTTAGGAAGAGAGGGGAGGGGTTGGGAAGAGAGGGGAGGGGTTGGAAAGAGAGGGGGGAGGGGTTTGAGGTGATAATCTGTAACTCACTGCCCAGCAGCAGCTTTCAATTTCTTCCTGGACTGTTTAGGCGTTTCGTCGTCGGACACGCGGCCTTTCTTCAAGTTCTTTTTAGCCGACTTCTCAGCTCCCCTTCCACGTCCTTTCTCTACAAAAACAAAACGCAAAAAAATTTAAAGAGGTTATAATCCAATAAAAGTATGTTAGTTAGACAAAAAAATAGGGCATCTTGTCCTTTTGCATCACAATTATTACCCCTTTTTCCAGCCAGGAAACCAGTTTTTTTTTGCAGCAGCTCAAGATTAGCATAATCTGGTTTCTACTCTCACAGGTACCCATTTATATTCCTGGATGGAGAGGCAATTGGAGTAAAATGTCTGGCACGAGAACACAAACAAGTTCCTAGTCAGGATTCAAATTGTAGTAAAGTGTCTTGCCAAAGAACACAAACAACAAGTTCCTAGAAACGGTTCAAATTGTAGTAAAGTGTCTTGCCCAAGAACACAAACAACAAGTTAGTAGTCATGGTTCGAATTGTAGTAAAGTGTCTTGCCCAAGGTCACAAACAACAAGAACCCAAATACCATCACACTCGAGTCAGACACTGTAACCATTTGGACCACAGCACTCCATGGCTTTGTGCGGTTTGATCACCAGGTAAATTGGCACATCTTGGCATGTTACATTGTTCTTTACTTCTTTCTAAGTCTTACTTTTATTATCCCGTCCTGACGAGCTATCATAATCTGTCGTCTGCTCAATGTTCCTCTCTTTCAGCTCTTGTTCAAACCGAGCCAAGTCCGCATCCAACCTCCGGATGTGCTTGTCGACCTATTAACAATAAAGAAGCCGAAGTTGGTTTTAAAATTGCAGTCTTGTGTTTCTGTTTGAACTAGACCAGTGGGCTAGTGGCTTTTGCTGGTCCCAGAGGGCCAGTTCGGGCAGTGCTATCATATAGGATTACCCTGTAATGTCAATGAACGAGTTCAATCCCATTGTGTAGACAAGTCGCATGAAAATACTTCCCATGAATAGCCATTCTGAATAATTTAAGTAGAATTTTGTGTACTCCAGTACCAGATACAAATTCAGTACTTTTGAGCAACCAGCTTTTGAAATTTGGTAAATTTTTACTGGAAATTGAAATTTGGACAGAAAGGGCAACTTGGCACTTCTATTGTCATAATTCTTAGCTCCCCACTTTTGCCTCTAGAGGGCTCAGTTGCCAATCGCCACTATCCAACTTCTGCCTCTAGAGGGCTCAGTTTTGGGTTGCAGACAAGTAAATCGACACAGGAAATAACATAGGTCAATGGAAAGATGCTGCAGCCGCTTCCATAGGCACGCGTGTGTTTTCCAGCCGCAGCCAAATAATTTGGACTGGGCCTTGCCTCTAGAGGGCACAGTTGGCAATCGCGACTTTCCCATTTTCGCCTCTAGAGGGCTCACTTGCCGATCGCTGATAGCCTACCATTTCATAGGTCTGCATAGCCAGTTGGACCTTGTCATCGTTGAATTCTCGGCTCTTGGCGAAGGCTCTGTCGATCCTCTTCAGCGCTTCAACTCGTTCCTCCGGGGCCCAAGTCTTGACACAATTGATGTACGAACCCGTCTCCTTGTCGATATCACGAGACAAATCTACAAGAAAAGAAAAAAAATCATATATGAATTGTGATATCTAAAACTGGTCTCATTCAAGCCACACTGTCCTACTTGTTTTCAAATTTCTTTCATAGATTTTATTTATAGGCCGTAAATTGCTATTTTTTTTCTGACAATACAAATATTGTTCACTTTTGAATGAGACATCAACTGAAAAAAAAAAAGTTTGGGGTAAAAAGTGATAAGAACCCACCTTGTGCTCGTTGATCAAGATCTCGCATTAAAGTGAAGTTTCTCTGCAGCTCAAACGGCAAGTTTTCAATACCTAAAAATGTGTACAAACAAATAGAACATGAGTTAGTAGGCCCTGATGTACCCATCCAAAAGCAGAACGGTGATTGTGACAACACATTGGTAGGTTGAAAGTAGGACATCGTATTTTTCTATCGAAAATACTGTTCAAAATCAAAAGACAGAAAAACTTGGAAATTAGAATTGAAGAAGATTGCAATAATGAATAAAATTGTATAATGGCAACAGGATATTTGACTGTGAACTGCTCTTCATTTTTTCAAGCTATTTTACCGGCACAGCACTGAACAAGCACAGTGAGTTTTTGGGGGGACTCAAAAATTGGGAAAGATTTCCATATACGAAGTTCACTCAACACTTTGTGTACAAACCCTATGAGATTTGACTGAAAACTTGTGTTTTCTAAGAAAATGCTTGTATTTTCTCACTGCTCAAATTGACTTTGATGACATGAAATTGCTATCTGGGGGCTGTTAGTCAATACAGAGGAAAATTAGTGAACTTCTTATATGTATATGGAAATCTTTCCCGGACTTTTTCCCTTTTAACATGTTTTACAAAATATCCTCCACAGCGATGTATCAGAAGAAAATGATAATCTGCAATTATTGTAGGATTCGATTTAAAAAAGATCACAAGAAGACAATTCTTACTTTTTGGGACACAAAATATTATTAAAATGTTCCAAAAAGACAACTGCATATCCGAGACTTGAACATTGTCATGATTGTTGAAGTTGAGCAGAGTGCTTGCAAAATGGGCGCACTATTAATGCAACTGTTCTTAACTAGGCCACAAATTCACTCGATTGAATTTGAAGTAAACACTTCAAATTTCAATCAAAAATTGCTGGAAGTGGTAGGCCTTGCAATGCTTCATTTAAATTTTGAACTGATTAATTTAAACAAGTCACTGTCATGACTGTAACTTACAAATGACTTAAAATCTAAAAAGGGCACAATTGCAGAATACCCGCCACTCGATCTATCCACCTCGTAGCTAGCTAGGATGATCCTAGCGTTATGTTTATGCATAACGCTAGGAAACTCACAATAGCAAAACTGGCAAATTTTTTTCAGACACGAAAAAGTTTATAATATATTCAATATTGAAGTATTATACTAATACAGTATGAAGTATAGACCTATAATGCACCAAATGATGAAAAGATGAATAGTAAAATACTGACAGCTCACGTTTTTCCAGATAATTTTTGGAGGTCTGTTTTATCAACCCACACTGAAGCACACTCGAAATGACTGTCGAGTGTAAACACATGTCACAGGTCAATGCAAGGTACTTTGCATTAAGTAGCGCGCATTGTTTACCAGTGCTAAGCCATGGTCGGGTGCGCTTCCACCGCCAATATTTTCAATGCCAACCTCGTCCCTAGGATGTCGAGCAGAACGCGCCCATCACTACCTGCTCTCTACTATTGGGAACCGTCACCGTGTTGGAAATAAAGTAAGCACTGGGGACGAGATTGTTTCAATGCTGAAAATGTATACCAGACGACTGTTACATGTTACTATTAGTTGAGATGAGTATCGCAACACACGGCAGGGGACCACAACAAATATATCAAAATATGACATAAAACAGTCGTATACAATCCGGATGGTATTGTGGGGTTGGGGACACGATCCAAATATCTTGAAGTGACCGCATGGTGGCGACGTTTAAGCCAGGAAGAAAATGTGTATGCATGAGGCAATGAAAAGGCAGTCGTATTTGTTGACATGTTGGTAACAAAGGTCTCCTCAGTTTCAGCCAAAATATCCGTAAGTAGTGAACATTTCTGGTTTTATTTATCAGTCAAGTACTGGAACAAGTTCAGCAACTATTATTATCCTGGTTTTAAAACAATTCTCGCCGTTTTGAGGAATATATTGCAAAGGACATGGTTCTGAAAGAGATGTGCAATAGCTACCTCGTAGCTGGCTACGAGGTCACGGTTGATTGACCTCAATAAACCTTCTCAGCGCTACTTTATGTACTATGCGTCATGCTCCACTGCACTCCCACTCCGTATCGGCGTAGCCGCCAACAGGGTAGTTGGTTTGGACTTAAAATTTTTTCATCAACTCCCATTCCTTTTTTGTGTTGCTTCGTTCTCAAGCATATTCAAGGGGACTCCCACTTCGTATCCGCGTAGCCGCCAACAGGGTGGTTGGTTTGGACTTAGAATTTTTTCAGCAACTCCCATTCATTTTGTGTTGCTTCGTTCTCAAATAATGGACCCCCACTCAGTATCCGCAGAGCTGGCACGGAAGTTGAATTGTTTCTTTTCCAGTGATTCCAACCGCGTAGCCAGAGATTTTACTAGGGTGTAGGCCTATTTCCGAGTGGCGGGTTATTCTGCAATTACTCCCTAAAATAAAGAGCAGTGAAGAGGGTTCTTTTTATGTTACTGTTCATTCAATCGCCTCTTTTTTGTTTACAAAAAGTGAAATTTATACAAAACACGACACACGTGACATCAACCGCACGCGAGAGCACATTCCATAACACTCAGTGCAGCACTGACGTACATCGTACACCTTGAATATCAATGATCATGCACACGATTGAGAGGAAAATGAATACCTAATTAGGCCAAATTCATCGCCGATTTTCACCATCAAATCCGACCTACCACTCTCAAATTGTATTACAAGATTGTTCCCTGATATCTAAATAACACCAATGTATCAATAAACATGCAAATGTATAAAGAAAGAACGAGTTTTTGCTTACTATCGAGGTACTGTTCTAAGTACAAAGCAGTCGCCATGGTGGTGATTTTTCCCGCTTGTCAAAATGGGTAATTGATTGGCCTGCTGACGTCAATAGAGGTCGCACTGAACGATTAACGGTAGACCGTATGTGGCATAGACCATATTCCTTCCTCCTTGCGTAGACATATAATATTGTCGGGTTTTTTTGTTGTATTAATTAGTTTTAGTGCGGAACTCTTATTTTCAAGGATTAACAAGGAACAGCTTTTTGTCTTTCATCAATCCCTGATCATCCAAAAAGGTCGCAAGTTGCCAAAGAATTTCCTAAATACTAGCCATCTTGTTATTACAAAATACGGTCGGTTTTTGGTTATATTACGGGTCAAAAATTACATTACTCAGGGTAGGCCTAGCTTAGCCACGGGACGAAACATTACATTTCAGGTTGATATTTTATTACGGGTCGATTTTTTAAATGACATTTCAGGTCGATATTAGCATATGGGTCGATTTTTAATTAGGGAATTAACCTGTGCTTATAGGCGATTTTGTTGGACCGGTTGGAGTCTGGTTGCTCATGATAATTACCCGAGCCGAAGGCTCGGGTAATTAGCATCAAGGGCGGATCCAGAACACAATTTTTTTTGGGGGGGGGGGGCCAAAAATAATTGGTCCCCCACAAAGTGGGTCAAACAAATTACGGCGTGGGGTTCAGGGCCCGCTTAAGGGCCCCGAAAAACTTTTGGATTCTAGATGCTCTGTGGTGCGATCTGAGGCAATTTCTGACCACTTTAACCAATGTTTTTTTTTTGAGGAAAAGATGGTGGTGTATAGTCGTGTTCCCTAACGTGGCGCACTTCGAAGCTTACCCGACTTTCCTCGTGTAGTGTTGCCAAACCTCTTTGTTGATAAACCTCAAATTCATGCAATGAAATACTTGTACTTTTACCTTATCAATGCTTGCTATTTAACCTCTGTGAACAATTTCAGTTTCATAAAATTTAATCCGAAATTCAAAAACGGTGGTGTCCGGAAATTGGGCACAAATTGGCGGAGTGTTCCCTAACGTGGCGCACTTGAATAAATCTTGGAAAATTCCAAATTAACACTTACGAATTCCTGTAAACTTGATAAATTCTGATAAATAATTAATATCTTTACTTACATACCCAGCCAAATGTTTGTCAGAAAATTATTTTCTTATTTTTCAGGGCATTTTCAAAGGCGATTTTCTTGGGTCAGAAAATTAATTTTTTGCTTGGGTCCGATAATTTTTTAGTCCTAATTATTATGTATCCAAATTATATTTTGTAAATTAAAACGATGGGGAGGTGAATTTCATTGATTGGGGCGGAATGTGCAGGGTTCGACCTCAACTTCTTTTGTTCACTAGCCAGCCGGGCTACTGGCCCACGGGCATTTCTACTAACCCGCATTTTTTTCTTATCTCGGATACAAAATGGCGTATTTTCAAGCGCAATTCTGAGGGAATTTTGTTGGTGTTTTTGATTAACAGATCAGATAATTTAATCCTTTAAAACAGTTGATAATTAGACACAAATTAAAGGGGTTTCTTTTGATCTTCTAACCCGCCGGTTCTTTTAGGACACTGAACCGCGAGAACAGATCCATGGTAGTCCAGAGCGTTGCAATTGGGTCAGTTTGACAATGGTGACAATTAATTGACTGACAGTTACATTGATTAAAAAACACGAAAAATGCAACTGGTACATCGTTGCATTAATATATGGAATTAAATTTGACGTGACAAGGCTACAGGTATGCACAAAACGATACAACACTCGTCTAACTACAAAAATCAGTTACTTTATTATCATCATTCACGGGTTCACTCCCAATCACACACTACGGTCACACATTGAACTACGGACTACCCGTCACACTATTCCCAAATTCTTCCCAACCATGCCAACCCAATCCTCGAAACCACTCCTAAAACGGCCCGCGTACGAGTTGGTTCGCGTACGAGTTGGCCCGCGTACGAGTTGGCTCGCGTACGAGTTGGCACGCGTACGAGTTGGTTCGCGTACGAGTTGTCTCGCGTACGAGTTGACCAATCCGCGTACGAGTTGACTCGCGTACGAGTTGGTTCGCGTACGAGTTGACCTGTTTCCTTCACTTTGCACTTGAAAATAAAATCGGAAAATCACGCCAAAATAGCTTTTCCTTCTAACTTTGTTACGGGTAAATAAACTCGCGATTTATGAACAGGACCGTTTAGAACTTGATGAAATTTCACTTTCTGTGAAATTTCAGTTTAAAATTTTGCTCTAGCTAGGCGCTACCGGCGAAAAATCCAAGTGCGCCACGTTAGGGGCCGCGCCACGTTAGGGTACATCAACAATACTCATTGCCTGCCTAAGTTTATTGCGACGTCATATAAAAAAAAAATGGATTCGTTTTTATGGGGGCCCGTGGCCCCCTTTGGCCCCGCCCCCGGATCCGCCCTTGATATTAAGTTGTAAGTTCAGCAAGTAATCGGTCTTGATGTCTTACATAAGGAGATTAAATTTCGTGAGAAACCGTCAAACAACTGAACAATTTCTTTCGAGAAATTAACGGTGCGCTGAAATAAAACTAGTGGTCTCGCACCGCCAAGACGTACATCCGCACGCCGTAGAATATTTTAAGTTTCGTTCAATAGAGGGCGCGCCACATAAATAGTGGTCTCAACAAAGCATCAACACGGATGCTGCACAATTGAACAAAAAGAACAAACTCGTTTCCGATGAACTACTCAAGAAATACAAATTGGATTAAATTGAAATTTCGTGCAATTAGTTTTCACGATGTGTAACATAAGTGGTTTGAATGGCGTGAGAAACCGTGGTGCTATAAATATAATATGATCGTAACAATCTAGTGTTTTAAACGTTAAAAATCCACGTTGACTTCCATTAGGATTGTATTTGTCGCGATTAAAACCCTGTAATGTTACGGTCATAATAGCTTGATTGTTTGACTTTTTTTATGAAATTAAATCCTTTGATGTCAAACATCATGACAAATGAGTGCACGAAAATTCGTTTTAATGTACTTAGTATTTCTTGAGTTGTTGGCCCCAAATTGAGTTTGTGGTGGAGATCGAGACCACTATAATGGCTTTGTATTTGCAAAGGAGTGTAGCGATCATTTTTATCAAGATGACGATTGGCTTCGCCACCACTTTTAAACTGGGTGTTAAGTCAGAATGCTCTTTTATTGATAAACTAATTATTTGTTATATTTCATCGATAGAGGGCGCTGTTAAATTGGACCGTAAGCTATAACTTTCTGCAGTCACGCTTTTGCAGTCGCCATATTTCATGTTTTGTTAGTACGTCATCCCAAAGTCGTAAGTGAAATATACATAACTCATCATTTATAATCCCTTTATTTGGTTATTATGGACATGCTTTGGGTTCTGGGATAAGTTTAAGGTATTTAATTTGGGGAAAAACACACACAAGTATAAAATAGAGACAGTTTATAATGTACATGTATGTGCATTGTGGTTAATTACATGTGACAATAGGGTTATTGCGTGTAATGGTACAAAATGTACATGTAGACCCACAGACAAGGCTGGTGTCGTCAATCCTGTTAATTGCCTGATATTATGTGATTAGTAATGATTGCTTAACTTTAATTATAAACAAAATTGTTGTTGATTCATACTTATATTTTACAACTGATTAAAGTAAATTTTGTATTTGTTATGGACAGATTAAACCGTGTTCACCTGATTACAACTTACAAGCCTGTCAAGTTTGAAGTTGACATTTGATACACGACACCCTGTCACATGAGTTTAATGACTGGGATCTTGGAAGATACATGTACGCCGACAACATGAGCGTAGTTAGTAGTGGTGAGCACAGCGTCAAGCACCATGATGGTGACTCAATGTGTGGAGATGGTGAAAGGCAGGGGGAGTTAGTACGTCCAGAGGACTCCGCCAGTCAGTTATCGTCAAGGACGAGCACCACGAAGTCGTCACTTGGTAGAACCAGGAAGAGGCTCGTCGCCAAGATGGCAGCGCTTGAAGCAGAGGCAGCAAGCTTACAAGAGATGCAGGCGATAGAGCTGGAAGAGCTGAAATTGCGTCAAAGAAAGCAAGAGCTCGCACTCAAGACCAAGATGGACATGGCTAAGGCGGAAAAATTAGTTTACGCCATTGATGAGGACTGTCTTCATATGACACCCCCAAATTCGACACCATCACCAGCACTGAGCGACAAGCAGGAGTCATCAAAGGACAGTGTCCCTGAAGCAGGGGATGAGCAGACACCCCAGAAGGAACCACGTTACTCCCCCGTGGATAGCCCGTCAAATACGACACCGAAGAACGAAGAGCCCTCCGTGGACAAACCCAAGACAACCCCAATGGATGATGACAACCCGGAGAAACAAGCCTCGCTCCTGGAATTGGTAAAAAGGGGGCAACAACAGCAGCGGTGCTTGCTAGCAACGATGCAACTTCCGAGAGCAGAGTTACCAACCTTCGATGGCAACCCACTACAATACTGGACCTTTCTGCGTGCATTCGAGAACAGTGTAGACAATGCAGATATCGATGACAGTGCTAAGCTAATAAGGCTTCTCAAGTACTGTACCGGAAAAGCAAGGAAGATCATAGAGTGTTGTGCCATAATGCAGCCAGATGTTGGTTACCAGAGGGCGAAAGCACTTCTCAAAGAACGTTTTGGTAGTGATTATGTCATAGCTGAGGCGTGGGTAAATAAGGTAACAAAAGGTGCGCCCTTGGCTTCCCATGATAGAGTAGGGCTAAGAGAATATGCTGATGACCTCAAAGTTTGTAAGGAAACGTTGGACACAATGGGGTATACCCAGGAAATAGGAACCCAGGGTGTAATGGTAAAACTTGTAGAGAAGCTGCCCAGTTATTTGCGTAATCGCTGGATAAAACATGTAAGGGGGTTTAGAAAGAGTGACAAGTCTCCTAAGATTGTTAATTTGGTTGAGTTTGTTGAAGATGCAGCCCAGGAGGCCAATGATCCTGTATATGGTAATTTACATGTAAGTGCATATAAGCCACAAAAACCAGAGATGAGGCCTAAAGTAACCAGACCAGACAAAACTAGCTATGCATTGGTAACAAA